GTGCCGAGCGATGGCAATACAATAAGCAAAGTGAGGACTACAAACAAAAAAACAAAAAAAAAAAATGCTTGCTTATGGTGACATGTTGCAACGGATTCTATCAGTCGCTTCACCTTCGTGGCTGAGTATCCCCAACTCAGCTGCGCCGCCTTCTTCATGGCTGAGCCCAACGAGGTCATCAGCCTCGAGTACGACAGCGTCGACATCGACTGCCAGGCGGGAGACTTCATTACGGTGAGGCCATCGCCGCCACGGGGAAATAGGGATTTGAGTGCCGAGCGATGGCAATACAATAAGCAAAGTGAGCACTACAACCAAAAAAACAAAAACCCTTGCTTATGGTGACATGTTGCAACGGATTCTATCAAGGTGTATATGGTCACAGTGTTCGGATTGTGCGGGCTAATGACTTTGACCCTGCATGAAGGCCGTGACTGCTGTTCTTGAGCAATAAAAATACGAAAATGCTCTCATTGAAACAGCGCATAATAAAACGCCATTTTCCATTTACGTGACCTCAATCAAAATCAATATGTATAGTGAGAGCAAGAAAAATATAGTCCTAGTAATCCTCATATCTCGCACGTGGCTGAAAGGTGTTTGACGGCTGGGTGTTGAAAGGCGAGAAGTTTCCCAGCTCGCAGGACCATCTGCTGTCCCCGCGCGAGCGATACGTGGACTACTGTGATTCCTCCACTTCCACCCGGAGAAGCGTGCGCTCCTCGCAGAACGTGGCCATGATCTTCTTCCGTGTGCACAACGCCGGCAGCGGCTTCGCCGTCACGTTCAGGAAGCTCGCCATCCAATTTCGTAAGTAAATGCGATGTTTTGATACAACCCAAGTAATGGTGATGCAGTCAGATTTTCTGACAGAAAAAAGTACTTTAATTTAATGTCTAATAGTTAAAATTAATAGCACGCAAAATGTCCTTGTGCTATGCGCTACTTCCATCTTGTTTTGCTTACTAAACGCAGAAGAAAAAGAATCCTCGTGCTAAACTCCCAATATTTTCTGCTCACTTTGAAATTGTACTTCTGATACCTCTCAAATGTGTCTGGAATTTCGTCTGACAGCTAATACTAAGAGCAAACATCCCAAACTTTGAGGCCATTTTGCTCATGGCTGTTGCGCAATATTTGAATGTTAGCATTGTGCTGTTTTTTTTCTTACTGTAGAAAAAGAAACATTCGCTGTTTACGTGTCAGCTTGCCCGTGAACGTGTCACATTTGCTTCGTTGCAGCCTGCAATGTCATCTCACACTCACCAGAAGGCACTTTCACCATGGTCAGCCCACAGCAGCACAGGAACTGCAGCTTCTCCATCGTCTACCCGGTAGAGGTCGACATCTCGGAATTTTCATCCTTCGGACTCCTCGGCAGCTTCCCAAAGGTGAGGCAACACGTACTGAACAGCAGCCAGCCCCTAAAACGTTGGCTCCTCCCTCCAGTGGCCCACATCGACTTGCGACTCGGAGGACATGCTCCAGCTGTTGGGGGGAAATGGTCTCGACACATCCAAGATGTTCCCCCTCACGGAGCTCTGCAGCTCCTCTACTGGGCCCAGTGAGTACTGGACATTTATGTCTGCTGAATTCTATTCTTTGTATATTCGACATAGTTTTCTTGACATCGTTATTCAACACAGCTTTTGTTCTGTCATCTTCCCTGCAGGACACATGAAAGTGGGCTGCGAAAACACGGTGGTGCGCATGGTGTCCAGCGGCCGCAATGTCAACAGGGTGTCCTTCAGCTACCGCCTGCTGGACAGCCAAGAGCTGCAGAGGCTGCGAGTCAACAACGTGGAGGATTTCTGCATGGCCAACTGATCTCTCTCATTGATATGTCTGAAAGACCAAACATGAATGGGAATATCAATGAAGACAAAGTGTGTGTTTTATATATTTTGTTCTTCCCCCTTTCCCCCAACATCCGTGCTGTTTGTTGCATAAAGTCTTGACATTCTAGTGATGAACGGTGCTAAAGTGAATTTATTGTCAGAGTAATGTGCCGTTAATAAATACAACTGATTGGCATTTGTATACAAATACTTTTTTGGAATAAAATTACACTGCATGGCAAAGCAATTATTCATCTTGTTTCTTGTTGAGAGAACACATCAATGTTTCCACTTTACATATTCAATGAAGCTATGGCAACCGTAGTCATGACGATCAGCCACAACAAAAGCTGCACTCAAAATGAGGCTCCAAAAAAACAACTTTTGACAATAATTTATTATTTGTCTGTGGCACAGTATTTTTTTTTCTATTCGTCGGCAGCATATTCAAACATCTATGTTTTGAGCTGTTGTGAAAGCGCAATATAAATAAAGATGAATCAAATGAAGTATTTTCAACCTTTTAATTGGCTTGCTTCAAATTTAAAATACATCTATGAAAGTAATTTGAGGGGTCTGCAGCAGATTTTTTTTTTTACTTTTATTGGCCCTTGGCTTAATCTAAAAAAACAAATAATTGGGCTATGTGGCAAATATTTTTTTTACAAAAATATAGAGTTTAGTTTCTTAAAAAAAGATTTTTTTTTTTTTACTTTATAAAGACCCAAACTACAAGCATCAAGGCAAGCTACATTTTTTTGTGATCAGTGCTTCAACAGCCATAAAAAAATCCCTTGAATGTAAATTGTAAAATTATCCAAGGACGTCTTGATTGATTGCAACCTTTTCAGCGCTATACGACTCGAAATTACGACGTCCCATCGGGCTGCCCGCATCCGCTCATTTCAATCAAAGCTAATTAAGTTAACAAGGTACATTTGAGTATAAAAAAAACATCCTACGTAATTTATTTTGCTGGAAAATGTCATCTGCAATCAAGCGATGACAACGTGGGAAATGGGAATATATTATTCTGGAATTTACGCCTTGCCGGAAGTGTCGGATTCAGTGCCTGAGGGGGGAAAGTGTGTCGGAAGTGAGGGTCCGACGCGACTGGACGCAGGTGCTCCGTGCGTCACGCTTTCTGGGAGGAGGGTCTCTTCCGCTTGTCTAAAATGGCCGCTAGGGTCTGCGGGGTGTGAGGTTTGCATCAGCTCAAAGTGTGGAAACGCAGATGTGCTTTCACACTTTCACACACAATAAAATAAGATTGCTCGTGTGCGTGTGTGCGTGCGTGTGTGTGATGATGTCTGGGTCATGGTGAAGGTGGAATTTGTTAGGGAATGGAGGCGTGGGGATTTAAAACATTTTTTTCTAGCTTTGCTGGTCACTAAAATAAAACAAAATGATACCCCACTAGGGCATGCTTTAAAAGGAAAGGGAAATCATCACATTTATTGACAACAGTGCAAATCAACATTCAGTTTTTTTTAATGACAAAGCTATACATTGTGGTTTAAAAGGGAACATCTATTTGGTGGTCTTCTTATTCTGTTCTTGGAAAAAGTCGTTGCAGGCAACGGTGAGCGCAGCCACCAGCACAACAAACTCATTGAAGTCCACCTCGTTGTCTTTATTGGAGTCCAGGTCACTCATGATCTTCTCCACCAGCAGTGGGTCCTTCTGCGACTGAAAAAAATAAATACATAAATAAATAAATTACACCATGCTCAAGGACTTGAAGATGTGTCATTTACAATGGCACATTTTTATTTACAACTGCCAGCCAAGTGCAAAAATGCAACTCTTCTTAATTAATTTCACAATAAGCAGCGCTCCCAGTTAAAGTTTCACTGTCACTGTTACTATTAAATTATACGTGTGTATTTAAAACAACCACGGAGCTTAGCGTTTCAGTCTCGTAGCTTAATGCTAACACTAAATAGCATCTATGTTTTAGTGCTGTAACCCTTCAAGCAATGCACTGAATACTAATAGTGAAGCAACACATTTGGACAGACAATATAACAGTACTCACAGTCATATATTCTACTCTCGAACAAGTGCTGTACCGATGAGCTGTGAGAGAAGTTGAGACGCATAAAAAAAGTTCGACTGATTTTTTTTTTAAATTTTCCAGAGTAAATTTTTTTGAATTCTATTTTAATTTAAAATAAGTATTTAACTAAATACAATATATTTATTTAAATATATAAAAATATGTATTTTGAGTAAAAAATAAAGCTAAATTCAAATATGAACTACTATTTAAGACATTAGAATATTTTTTATTCAATAATAATACATTATAGTTGAATACATTTTTACTGTTTTCAATTCATTCAAATTGAAAAAAAAAGAATATTAATCGCTCCATGCTTTCGCTGCTTTTACGATTTAAATACAATGAAACAAGACTATCCCTGCACTCAAGGTCTGCAATCAGATGCGATTGCCACCCACGGGGCTATGATGACATCATGGCAGCATCTATATTTGGAAGTGACGGGGGGCCCCGGTTGACAATGATGACGCGCCAGCAGCTGAGGCCTTCGCTTCCATTCACATGCAGGATGATAACAAGAAACGAAAAAAAATAATAAACATGTCTGTGACACCAAACTTCCAGATGACCGTCTCAATCACCGAAAGTGCTATTTGGTATCACGTGGCCTCAGGGGGGCTTTATCTTCAACAACTGGACAACCCCCGCTGTCTACTACACATCCCATTGGTGATGGACAAGGTCAAAAGATGCCTTCATCGTTTCTTGTATACAGTCGCTCTCTGAAACATGGTCATGAGGCCGTCCTTTTGGCAATTCACACCTCCCCAAAGCGCTATATAATAAAGATGAGGTGAGTCCGTGAATGAAGTGAAGAGAAAAAGCGCGACGACGGGTCAAAAGGTTACCGTGAGGAAGTCCGTGAGCTCGGTGTGCAGCAGCTGCTTGAGCTCGCCCTTGTTCAGCTTATACTTGTCTCCGTCATGGCCCGAGTAGTTGTAAAAGACGGCGATCAGCGCGTCCATGGCGCCCTCCAGCTGACTCGGCATCTTGCTGGCCCAAATAAGCAGAAGATGAAGAAGAGGAGCAGTCCTACCTGTGAGTGGAGGTGTTCAGTTGTGACGGCTCACTTGTTTGTCAGGAAGGGAACCACAAATGGGGAGAGTTGGCGTTGACGGCTGGAGTGGTCCGCCCGACGGGGTAATTAATTCCACAGGCGAGAGCATCCATGGCGACCATCTTCCTTTCCAGCCGCGTGCTTGGAAAACAAAACAAGTGCTGATGTGACCCTGCCTCCACCCGCCCCAAGGGTGCGAGAGAGCCTACACACCGCCTTCTCCATCTCGGTGTTCAATCATTCTGGTGTTTCCGTGCTCTCCCATGTGATTGGGGGTTAATACTGCAATGATGGCAGGATGTGAGCTGAGTCACACAGGTGAGTCCCTGCTCTAAGTGACTCGGAGGATTTGAACCCTCCCAGAGAATCAAGGTTCCTCAGTCTGTATTAACCAGAATACCATGAGTGCTCTGGCGGGAATCACTGGAAAGACCACAGACTCTGATTAGTTAACATTAACAGACTCGCCAAGAAACACATTTGGATGTGGAGGTTTACTGACTTGAGTTTTAGGAATAACCAGAAAAACAGAATCAGACGAGTCCAGTTCGCGGCCTCACTGGAAAACTCGTTTAATGGACTTGTAAGGAAACACTGTGGATTCGGACAATTCAGTTTACAGAATAGCTTGAAAGATAATAGACTCAGATCACTTGATTCAATGCCTTTGTTTGTTTTCTTGCTCTGAAGCCAGGTTTTATTTTTTAACCATGGTGAGTTTCATCCTTTTCTAATTTTCCTGACTTAACAGCCGCCAACCAGAATAGCAGCCAGCCCCTAAAGAGGAGCCCCTCAGGACATTTTTTTCTTCCACTCGCAGCCGCAGCAGGTTTCCATTTGTTAGACTTGACGAAACTCTTGCAGCAGCAGGAGGTGAGCATCATTAAATGATTGTTATTGTCATGTCACTGAGATAAATTGAAATCGTGGGACAACAGATCAACAGTTTCTTTATGGGCTGCTTGACGGACTGTACTCTGTGGCATCCGCGAGGTTGTTGCAAAGATAACACAACATCCTCAATGTGACTTTGTCCCTCAAGAGAGTATGCGAGTGTGGTATATAATGTATGCGTGTGTGACAGGCATAAAGTATGATAATGTTTATAGTCTACGGTATATTGTAGACTATGTGAAGAAACATATTTACATGTATTCATACACACACACCAACTGTGTATATAAATGGATGGATGGATAGATGAACAGATTCAGACACCACTGTGTTGAGCTCTACTGCTCTCTACAGGCCCTTTGGAGACAACACAATGGGCCGGCCATTTAACCTCAAATTTAAAACCATCTACTCATCCATCCATCCATTTTCTAATCGACTCATCCTCACAAGGCTTATGGGCGTGCTGGAGCAGTAGGCGGGGCACACCCTGAACTGGTTGCCAACAACAGAACATGCAAATTACACATAGGAAGGACGGAGCCGGAATCAAACCCTGCACATCTGCACTCGTGCTAACCACTCGTCCACAATGCCACCTGTTTAAAATAATCTTTTCCATAAATAATTGAAATTAAAAGAAAAGTGTGTGTGTGTGTGTGTGTGTGTGTGTGTGTGTGTGTGTGTGTGTGTTTGAAAATTGTGACCCCCCCCAAAAAAATCACCCAGCCGTTTCCTTGGCAACCACACTGCAGAGTAAGGGAAGGAAGTAACGACAAGGACAATTACGTCAGACACTAAGGAAATGACACATGACAAGAATTATGACACCTCATTAATCATGCAAAAAATAAATCATGCAAAATTTTCGCAATATAACAAGACAAAAAAAGCTCACAATGGACGTACAATGGGAGGAAGTGTGATTGACTTCCCTTTTGAAAGCCTCAAATGAGCATTTTTGTGGTGTGTGTGTGTGTCCCTGTGTGAGACATATTAACCCACTTCCACACTACAAGATACACGCTTGATGTTTGGTCATGCTCTGACCTTTTCTTTAGTACACCCGGTTCAAGTTTAGTAGCAATCGGACAAATATCTTGAGGACAAGTGTGACCACTGGAAATGGCCAAAATGACATTAAAACAAGATATTTAAACCTCAATGGCAGACTTGCTTTGTTCCAGATATGGCTTCAGGTGCTTTTTTTGTGTACATCTATTAAATTTCAAAATCTCTTGGACAAGTTTGTCTTTGAGGTAGCCCCGGATTTGGTGAAAATGACTCTAAATGAGCTACATGTACCTTGATCCAAAATGGCTGACTTCCTGTGTCCTTTCAAGCAGGGCTTCTTGAGACTAGAAAAAAAAAGATAGAATAGTTGATACATTAGATAAAAATAGACAGAAACGTGTATTGAATTTCAAAATATTTGCAACAAGTTTGTCTTGCAAATTACCAAATCGACCATTCATTACATAATTTTGTTGTAATGAATAAATAAAGCAACTGCTCGTTTTTGGGAGAGCAAACGGACGACTAAACGGGGAAAAAAAATGAGAGCATCTACGGGTCCCGAGTACTGGCTGCCAGCCTTGTGCCCATGAAAAGGGGTCTTTACAGAGCGCCCTTTTTTTTAAAGCGGAGACGGGGAGGTGGGTTCGGGGTGCATGGTAGGTGGGGCTTGAATATACATAAAAGCTTTAGCCAGTCGGACCGTCCAAGTTGGCACAGCCTCACCAGACGATTTGCCGTCGATGTTCTTTCCAGCCGAGGTGGTTTCATCCCGGATGTCAGGGGCGAGCAACGTGACTGCGGGCCCCCCCGGGTCCAGTTCGGTCCTCCAGCCGGCCTGGGACTACCTTCGCCAGAACCACCACAACCTCCTGAGGAGCCCATTGTTCCCCGTGGCACTCTCTGTCTCCACTTACTTCTTCTTGGTTGGGGTCTACACGGCGCTGGACCTGCTGGCACCCGCCTGGCCCAGCGTCAACCGCTACCGGCTGCACCCGGACAGACCCGTCACCTGGCCGGGCATTGGGACCACGCTGGGTGTCACCGCCTACAACCACATGTTCTACATCTTCCCTGCCGCTGTCGGCCAGTGGTTGTGGAGGCCACCCACCCCACTGCCTCCGCAGGCGCCCACCCTTTGGGAGTTCTCCCTGGGGATCCTGGGCTGCATGCTGGTCTTCGACTTCCAGTATTACCTCTGGCACCTGCTGCACCATCGCGTCCCCTGGCTGTACCGCACCTTCCACGCAGTGCACCATGAGTACCGGCGCCCATTTAGCCTGGTCACGCAGTACCTGTCTGGCTGGGAGCTGGTCAGCGTGGGCTTCTGGGCCACAGTGGACCCAGTTCTGCTGCGGTGTCACTGCCTCACCACGTGGGGCTTCATGGTCGTCAACGTCTACGTGTCCACCGAGGATCACTGCGGCTATGACTTCCCGTGGTCCATGCATAACTTGGTGCCCTTCGGCCTCTGGGGGGGCGCCCCAAAGCATGACGCCCACCACCGGTGGCCCGCCACCAACTTTGCCCCTTTTTTCTCCCACTGGGACCAGCTGGGGGGCACCCACATGATGCCGCCCACCAGCGGGCACGGCTCCGATGGTGATCCGAAGGACTAATGAATCACTTTTGTACCTTCTCCTGACCCAGAATGTTCCCTTTCCTTGTCTGACCTTCTATGTTGCTTCGATTTTATGACTTTCTGGTAAAATGTGACGTTGTAGACCGTGATGCACCGTTTTCAACTACTCCACTACTCTTCTTTTGTTGTTGTTATTATGGCGATCTCTCAGGTTTGTTTCCATACACGGGGAACAAAAGAAAATGAAAATAAAACAAATAAGTGCACTTACTTGACAGCTGTGTCTTTTCAATGAGCGAATATCAGCGGGGTGGCATGTTGTGTGTGATCTCGTCCACGCTTGCTCATTCTCTTTCCTCGCCGGCTTCCCGTCGTGCATGAATGGTGGTCTTTTAGCAGCAGTCCCGGGTCGGGACGCACGGCTTGCAATACTAATGGCTCTGCGGCTGCGCTTGAAAGGAGATTTCATTTAAAGTGCAAGTGAGCTATATATGTATGTTGCATATAAAAAGAATATAGATCCCAGTTCAAATGCCTTTTTTTTGTGATATAAAAAAAAAAAATGTCCAAACTTATTTTCCACTATTGATGTGATCTACAACCTGTCAATGCAACTGAAAGAAAAAAAAGAAAAAATGTTTAGATTTTTTTAACCGTACTTAATGATACAATAAAAATGTATTGCGCTAAAGATGCATTTTCGGGGTGTAGGGATTAGCTAGCGACTGCTAACTGCTTGCTACAGTGGGAGAAATGGACCTACCTGTAAGTCAGTGGCAATTGTGACATCACTGATGCAAACAAAGGCGCCCAAAGTTTTTATCAAGTTGGTTCGAGGCAATTTATGTCCCGTGTCAAATCGTGTCACTCCGCCAGTTTTCAGCCACACCTTAAAAAAAAGGAAGCTGAAATGCTGAAAAAACACTTAAATGCTATATCTCCACAAATCAGTGCTACATAGTTCTGACTCTGCAAATCTTCAGCATTTATCTTACAACATGTCATGCGTTAAGAAACAAATGTTCTTGAAAGCGCTTCGTGACAGCTGCAGCGGTTGTACAAAATGCATTCTCTTGTATTGTATAAACCTCTTGATTTCCCTTCACAGGGTTTTAAAAACAATAACCATTAAAGCAGCAAGTTTGAATCCTGGCTTGGCCCTGCATTCCCGGTGACGCTCTCTCCTTTGTGGCTCATCACAAGGGATGGCCAAAACCGGTTTGTCGTGGTTTGCGCTTTATGAGCGGTATGTCTGTTGCAAGAGGGTCATGTTTATTTTAGCAGCAAAGACGCCTCGAGCGGACCCGTCATAGCCGCCCACCATCAGACCCAATAAGCCTTTAAAATCAGCAAAACAGGAAGTTAAAAAAAAATGTAAAAACTCGCAGGAGAGGAAGTATGTCCATACATCGACGCAGGTGGAAAAGGACAGTTGGCATTTACGAGAAGCTCAGGGCCATATAGCCGCTTGTTACGACACCAAAAATATGCAACTCTATACGAGAAGTAGAACCACATCCACATTTGCGTTAAACATTCAGTTCGGTACACACAGTACTTCAGCACTGTCGTTCAAAGCTTTGTTATGGGGGCTGTTGTCAAGGGAAACAGGCAGTGCACAGACCCAAAATAGGGGTAGGAGCGGGAGCCTTTATGCAGGTAACCAAAACCTGCAGAACCACCTTGAGATTTAAATCGACGCTCTAAAATGGATATCATTTGTCTCATCCACTTCAACACATTGGGAAGACTTTTGCCACCTCTGCTCTTTCATAGTTGGGAGTGCCCTACTGCTTTTTCTGCAAAATCAATCTCAAACAGCTCTTTCGTTGTGAACTAAAGCTCACAGTAACCTCTGCCCTAGATTATGCAGGATAGAAATACGACACCTCAAGGTGACACTGCTCAGAGGTCATATGTGGGAGAGTGAATCACTAACCTGCTTTGCACACGCGGCGATCCATTCGTGTCGCCCTGTCACATCCGTTCAGAGACACTGGTTGACACCAAAGTTGCTGGAAAAATAAATAAATAAATATAAGTGTTTTATATATATATATAGCTATTTTACCTTTTTTTTTAACCTTTTTTTTCCTTCAGGTCAAAGGTGGACTGTCAAGAGTGCATCTTGCATGGCTTTGGTTTGTGTTGTTGGTTTAAAGTTAATCATCTCCTCACTTTCTTCTTTTCTGAAATTTTTCAGGTGAGGGGAGGGCGGGGGGGGGGGGGGTTCACTTGTAAGACGTAAAACTAGGAACGCATTAAGAAATATGGATGCAAGATTTTTGTCTGCTTGCGCAGGTTTAATGTGACTCACAAACAAAACAGCAGTGAAGAACAAAAGAACACTTCGGCAACAATCATTTACCTCTGACAAACAGTTGGCCTGACCCAGGTAGGGTTTCATCACGGACCCTGAAGGTGGGGGCAGGGTGTTTCAGTGGGGGGCTGGGTATGGATGCTTTTTGACATTCTATAACAATTTGCAAAACTGGGATGGTGTGGGTGGTGAACCCGCCAATGAATCAGATTTTTAAATTATTTTGTAGTATTCAACACAATAACGCAGATGTGAGATGCAGGCATTATTTTTGTCCACTTGGGGTTGACATCTTTGCGTTCGACTGTAGTATCTGTGACTTTGCATGTCTTTAATGGACTCTTTCCTTCTGGCTCGCCGCCATTGCACCATCTGATGTCAACAGATGCACGTTCGACTGCAGTAACATGAGTCTGTGTGGAAAAATGATGCCTGCAAAACTTTGAGGCAGAGATTTTGCTTCACTGATTTTTATCATTAAATTATCGAATACTTTGATAAATCGTCACGGTCCTAAAGGAACCCTGTTGGTAAAATTGGATGTGACGAAAATGAGGGGATTGAAACTGATCGTCCGGGGTTGACGTTAATACTGTAGCTTACCACTCGTGCAGCAAAGCAAGTCTGTGGCCGTTGAAGCTTTAGGTCAGCAAAGAATACGTTTCTCGATTGAACAGTTTCTTATCTGGGAAGGAAGGACAAGACTGGGCCGGCCATGGGTAAAGCTGCATTTCAGGAATACCGGTCTGGCAATGTCACCATGCGGCTTGCAGTCATTGAAAAGAACGGTCAGCTTTTTGTTTTTCGGTATTTATTTACAAAATGACGTAACACTAAATGAGGTTAAAAATACTTTGAAAGTCTTTCGTGGAAACTGCCAGTCTGACCGGACGGACTAGTACCAAAAGCAGCTTGCATTTCATTAAAAGTCCATCCTTGGCAAAGGTACCCGTCTGTCCGTCCGACCGTCCGTCCACTTGCCTGCTAGCACGAGCTGCTCTGGGTGGTCCCCGTGTCCGACACGTACGACTTGCTCTTCCTGGAGTACTTCATGGAGCTGAAGGACACTCGCATGCGTTCCACCGCCCGGCTGCTGCGGCACAGCAGCGTGTTCTTGACGTGCTGGCGGAAATCGTCGGACACGAAGTAGTAGATAAAGGGGTCCAGTACGCTGTTGAGGCTGGCCAGGCACAGCGTGGTGATATAGAAAGCGTAGCCGTTGTCCACCACCCCTTTCTTGAGCAGCGAGTAATGCAACACAAGCATGACATTGCTGGGGATGAAGCATACCAGGAAGGTGAGCAGCACGAGCAGGATCAGCAGCACCGCCCTCCGCCGGTTCTTAGCCGCCGCGCTGTTGTCCATTCCGCGGCCTAGTGTCCGCAGAAGCAGAATGTAGGCCACCGTGATGATGACGCAGGGCACCAGGAACACCACAGTGCCCATCAGGATGAAGTAGAAGTAAGGCAGGCGGACGGACTCAAAGGGCTTCTTAATGTCCAGGATGACGCTGACGTCATGGCAGGTGGTGATGGCGGGCTCCCGCAGCTTAGCCGTGTGCTGGTACAAGTAGAGCGGCGTGGTGGTGAGCCAGATAAAAACCCAGATGGCCACGCACACGCCCACCGCCACCTTGTTGTTCTTGCGTTGTTTTGAAAGCGGGTGCGCCACCACCCAGTAGCGCTGCACGCTGAGGCAAGCGATGAATAAAATAGAGCAGTACATGTTCCCATAGAAGAAGCCCACCAGGACCTTGCACAGCCCCTCGCCGTACGTCCAGTCGTTGCCGGCCAGGTGGTAGGCGATCTTGAGCGGCACCCAGATGACAAAGAGCAGGTCGGCCAGAGCCAGGTTGGCCATGTAGATGGACGACGGGTGCTTCTTCTTCGTGCGGAAAAGGAACACCCAGACAGCCATGGCGTTGGCAGGCAAGCCCACAACAAACACCACAATGTAAACGATTGGCAGGAAGATGGTGGTCAGGCCGCTCTGTAGGGTCTCCATGGTGGCGCGGTCCACCACCACCAGCTCCGAGGACTCGGGGTCTCTTCTGCCAAAGAAGCCGCGGCCACCCACTGGGAAAAATTAAAAAATACAAAAATAAAAAATAAATAATTCAAACACGACAAAACTACGACTGCCATTTATAATCGATTCATCAGCATGTCAATAGTGTTCTCCTTAACATGTTAGCATTAAGCGAGTCCTATGTAAAGGTACCGCTGCACTGTGACAGCCACATCTGGCACAGTAACACGCTAAGCTGAAATGAGCAGGTATGTGTTTAATTTGGCCATTTATAACTAAAGGCCCATGTTTGAAAATTGGAGTGTTGTCAACCATTTTTTAAGAATCCAGTCTTTTTTTGTTTCTTTAACTACATGACATTGTTGCAATTGCAGAGAAACTGCAAAAAATAATAACTGGCCCCTTCCAGGGATGATTGCATCACTTAAAAGGGAGAGGATCAGGAGTATGAGGCTCATCAATAGTACAGTATTAGCAAATTAGTCTAAATGACACGCAGGCACAAACTGATGTGACATCACATGTGTGCAAACCAAATATGGGCACGAGAGCTTTATACAAATGCTAAGTCGTTCAGTTCTTTTGGTATTTACAGTATAAACAGAAAAATGTTAACAGCAAAAGAGACGCTGAAACACACTTTCAGCTTTGCTAATAACAGAAGATGGTTTAAAAAAACTGTTCATTGTAAAGTAGTGCAGCATGAAGTGTATACAGTAGTAACATGGTAACAAAAAACACTTTTTACACACCAATCTTCAAATGTTCCAAATCTGCTCAAGCAATAAACATGAAACACTATTTTGTAGCCCAACATTTCCAATACAAAACCACATCACATTAAGGAGCAGGGAATGCCAACAAGAATGGAGAGGACTAAGGGCATACTGTACTCAAATGTTATAAATCTGCTCAATAAACACATACATTTTTTAATAGAACTTTTTTCCCAGGTAGCCATGTTGAGACTGTGGAGTAGAACAAGTCCAACTTTGCCTGTATTGGTATGATCACTGGATGACTCAGGTTCTCATATTTGTATTTAATTCTGCTTCCATAAATGTGAGTTTTTTACATGTGTATACAGCACCCAATTATTTGTTTTAATCAAACAATTTTAAAACTTTGCATTTTAAAGCCCAGAGTCGGTTAAATTAAATTCGCATTGGCTCATCCGATCGTTTAAACTCCCGGGGGTTAATATTTGGTTGTATTCAAATTGTGAGCAAGTCAGACGAGCCTCGTCGAAACCACAATATTTTCCCACACGACAAGTCCCAACTCGGAGGTGACAGAAGCCGAGGTTGGAGCACTGAACTCGGTCAAAAGTTGATGTATCGATGATCAGTTAGTGGATTTTTTTTTTTTTTTTGGTCAACACAGTCATTTTAATCACCGAATTGCATATCTGGGTGAATCAAGACTAACCGAGTAAATTCGGGAAAAAAAAAATTACCTGCGCCATCCGCGAACCAAAACTGACACAAGACGATCAAAGAGAGTGCCAAAAAGTGAGCTGGGTCCATTTTTTTTTCTTTCTATTCAATTAGGTTCCGTCCACTCGCTCGGATCTCTGAACGTTCGACTTTCGGCTCCTTGCTGTGTCCGCGCCCAGAAAGTAGGTATTTTAACATAAACAGCCGCCCACTCGTCCACCCCGGTACCATCGAGGCTCAGCGACCACGCCCCGAGACTACCTGCCTGGCATGGCCTGCGCGTCTTTGTGACGTCAGAGAGTCGTTTTTTTTTTCACTTCAACTCACAAAGCAGACAACAAAAACTTTATATACAGTATGTACTGTATATATTTAAAGATGTGTAAAAAATATTAATATAAAATATATCTAACTTCACAAACTTCTTAAAACACGACAGGGAGTTTATGACATGTATAAAAATTATACAAAGAAGATATTGCGCAGACCACTGATAAAGTTTGCAGTCATGGTATGTTTTCATAGGTTTTCCTTAGCATTTATTTATACCTGTATGGACACAAAAAAAAAATCAAAAGAAGTTGCTTTGATATGCATACATTTTGATCTATGCTAAAATCTTGCTGAAATAATACAGGTTATTAAGTAGAATTGTGAAAGGGCAGTTCTATTCTAAACAATAATACCAAATAAAACATCTTTCAGGAGTAAGGAGATGTGGGGATGAATGCTATCTATAATAAATCGTGTCAGATTACACCACGACTGTTTTGTGTCTGAAGAAAACCAGAACAAATCGACTAACATTTCTCATAATTCACTACAAAAACGTCACTTGTGTCTTTCTTTAATTTGTTTCTGTAAATTTGTGTTTGCGTTGTTGCGTCCTTGTTTTGAGTGTAAATCCTACTCTGCTGCCATTGTCTCTGTGGAGGGATTAGCCTCAAAATTGTTCACCCAAATGTGTCCACGACTAGGGGCTGTGTGAGTTCAGCTCCACTCTTCACCATACATGCAGACGATTGCCGTTCATCCTCAAATAATCATTTTTAATCAAATATCCAGATGATACCGTTTTGACAACATTGCTGAATAATTCAGAGAATAATTCAACAGGGCATGGACATGCATTGTGACATGTTAAAAACAATGCTCGGCAATAAACACCAACCAACACCTGTAGAATGACAGTCTGAATTGAAGTATATTTAAAATCCACAATTTATTTAATTTCACAGTGTAAAATTTCAAACAAAAACAAAAATGTTCTACAATAGCAATAGTACACATAGTCATCACTGAAAAAACCAAAAACAAACAAAAAAACAAAAACAAACAAAAAACAATTTCAATGTTCAAATGTGCATAGTGGTTGTCCCTCCCCACCTGTTTTGATGTCCCAGTCTGTTATGGAGGTTCTTAGACTGATGCACAGACAATAATAACCCCAACATGCATGTTTTAGGGATGCAAAAGGAAACCTGAGTAACCTGACAAAACCTTAAACATGTATTCTTTGTACCTATGAGAGGAGACAGCGAATTATATTCTGGACTGGTCATCACATTCAAATCTATGGCCAATTTAGAGTCTACATCAAATATTTTGGGAATGTGAGAGGAAGCTTCATACCTAAGAACGATGAGGCAAATGTGCTTACCAACCAGTGGTACTTTTGTGCTGCCCTATTTAGAAAAGGAACAACTCAACTGAGTCTGTTATCCGGAGAGAATTGGAGCGCCGGCTAGCACTGCGAGCTGCCTGTGTTTCCACTTGAGTCGGACATGTAGGTGTTGCTCTTCTTCGAGAACTTGAGCGCGCTGAAGGACACGCGCATCCTCTCCACCGTGCGCTGGCTCCGGCACAGGAACGTGTTCTTGACGTGCTGGCGGAAGTCGTCTGATATGTAGTAGTAGACGAACGGGTCAATGCAGCTGTTGAGGCTGGCCAGGCACAGCGTGGAGATGTAGAAGCCATAGAGGTTGTTGGGCACCTCATTTAGGAGCAACACATAGTGCACCAGTAGCATGATGTTGCTGGGCGCGAAGCACACCATGAACATCAGCAGCACCGTGATGATCAGCACCACCGCCTTGCGCCGTTTCTTGGACACGGTGGCGTCCACCGTCATGCTGCTGCGCAGTGCTCGCAGCATCAGCACATTGGAGATGGCGCACACGGTGGCTGGCCCCACAAAGCCCACTGAGCCCATGGTGAGGAAGTAGCCTGCTGCCATCTTCTTCTGGCTGGGCCGGGTGACGTCATGGCAGGTGAGTATGTTCAGGTTGACCACGCGCACCTCCTGGTCATACAGGTAGAGCGGCACAGTGAGCAGCCATACCGTTGCCCAGATGGCCGCTGAAGACACGTAGGCTACTGTGTTTTCACGCCGGCGCTGCGCCAGCGGGTGAACCACGGCCCAGTAGCGCTGCACGCTGATGCAGGCGATAAAAGCCATGGAGCAGTACATGTTCCCGTAGAAGAAGCCCACCAGGACTTTGCACAGCCCTTCACCGTATGCCCAGTTGTTGAGGTTGAAGTGATAGGCGATCTTCAGCGGCACCCAGATGACAAAGAGCAGGTCGGCCAGAGCCAGGTTGGCCATGTAGATGGACGACGGGTGCTTCTTCTTCGTGCGGAAAAGGAACACCCAGACAGCCATGGCGTTGGCAGGCAAGCCCACAACAAACACCACAATGTAAACGATTGGCAGGAAGATGGTGGTGAGGCCGCTGCTCAGGACCGATTCGGCATGCAGGCTCAACAAAATCCCGCCGGTTGTCTCAGTGCCGGTGAAACCTCGCAAGTCCTCTGTGCAGAGAAAGTAGCTGGGATTTAATAAGAAAGTCGAATGCTTTGGGCTTAGATTTTAAGGAGAATCACCAAACAAATATTTAGTCATATAAGACCTGAACTAGTATTTCCAACCCAGGACAATTCGTCCAATTCCGGTGAACCATTGAACTACCAATAGATCATTAAAAAAAAAAAAAAAAAAACATTGCTTCTGTGTTGCATGGAGTTCCTGATTTTATTTTTACATTCGTGGTTGTCAGAGAAACTGATTTGTTTTACATTTGTTGTTGTATTGTTGACACTGTGTGGGTCGACAGGACAAAATTGCGCTATCTACTGTGAGGCACTTCTCCAAAATGAGATTTTCCGGAAGTTACACGGACGTCAGAGAGAAGCGCCACTTCATGTCACATGACAGCACACACACAACGTCCACCCTCACCTCCACGTTCGACCTGCATTCATCACTTAAACCAGCAATTAAAACTCCATAAAGTACTTCTACAAAACCTACTATATTCCACCCCATGATTAAAGACATAAATACGACGTGTGTTTTCTTCTTATGTGTGCTTTTCGGACCATTTCAACGGCCGAAATTGTTCCGCTCTCCAAAGGTAAACAAAACGAACTCACCTGTGTCACACGAGCCGGTATGTAGAAAACGAAGGAGAAAGACAACGAGCACAAGTCGTCCGTCCCGCGCAGTCATAGCGGCGTCGTATTTAAGTTTATTTGTTAAATAAAACAAATAATAGACGAAAACAACGACGTCGCCGTGGGTGGTGGTGGAAGTGATGTCGGCGGGCGTGGCAACTTGCGTTTACCCTGTCTTATGTCTCCGCCCCGCGAAGAGCAGGCCTTCACACCTTGGTGACGTCACGGTGAAACATGACCGTGCGGTGCCATTTGTGGTCATACTCCTACTACTAATCACGCACCGACAAACAAGTGATTCCGGAAACTTTTTTTGAACCAAACACACACAAATCTCTCTATATTTATACTTAGTCTGTCTAATACTCTCAATTATATGATCATCAAATCAAGTAAACAATTAACCCGTGATATAAATGACAAAACATAAATGTTTGAATGTGGTCAAAACCTTTCCTATGGCGCTATCTAGTGGATAAATTAAGAAGAGTCTGTGGCTTGATGGAGATGGAATTCTCATGATGGTCAACAGGGGGAAGCAAAAGCACTTGCTAGCAGCATGAAAAGCCTGCTGGTTTATCTTTGCAGGATAAGCGTGTGGTATCATTGCCAAATAGGTTCAAAAAGTGGTTTGAAACGAGTTTATTTAACAAAGATAGTGTAAAGGAAGATATCAGTTAACAAAGTGAGCAAATATACACGTAACACGTACAAATATGGATTTAGCTAAACATTACAATGTAACAGCTTAAATAGTTGTAGTGTGCAAAATGAAAAGTCCATTGTGCTTAAATGCTTAATATTATTTCACATTTATGTGGTAAAAATAGGAATAATTGGGACGAACAACATTCCCACCAAAGAAATCAAAGAAGGTTCCTGTGGACCATCACAGGCGGCAGTAAAAAGAAGACCAAAGATTTTTGCAAAAATAACAGCCATGAATGCAACCCGGACATGAACTAATTGTCGGAAACCCTCCTGTTGTTTGATTTCTTTTTGTTTTATCGGCAAGTAGCCATCCAGTCCAGGGTGAGCCACAGTATATTGCCCACCCCAAAAAGTTGCAGAAGTACATTTAGATCCTAATTCCTGAAATTGAAACACACTTCTGGAGGAGACCTAAAAAATTCTGGGAGTAGTAGTTATCTAATGAAATACGTTATGTACATCAGACCCCACCACAAAGGTTCCTAAATCTTTTTTTAAATGATTCATTCAGATGATGCTGTGGTAGAAAAGCAGTCAGTGGTCTAGGATCAGTCATCAAACCAGAAGTTTCTTGTACAGTCCACCATGGCTCCCTTGCAAGGAATCCTTTTTGGCAAACGCGACGTTTCGCTCTGAGCTTTCCATGCGGCTAGACTTCAGGATAGTCCTGCTGCTGGATCTGTAAGAGTCCGATGAGCTGGTGCTGAAGCTCGTGGCTATCTTCTGACACCTCAGCACCCCGACGAGCTCTCGCTGGCACTGGGATGAACCGAAGCAGTAGAGCACCGGGTCCAGCAGACAGTTGAGGCTCCCCAAACACAAAAAGACCAGATAGGCAACGTACGTGCCCTCGGGGGCATCACCGGCCTGGTACACCCCATCATGGAGCTGCGTGTAGTGGACCAAGAGCAGGCAGTTTGTGGGTGCGAAGCACAACAAGAAGATCACCAGCACTGTCAGCGCCATCACCAGGGCCCTGGTTCTCCGACGGGAGCTTCCGGAAACGCCGTGAGGGGACCGGCTCAAGGACCAAATCACACGGGTGTAAGAGATTGTAGTGACCAGCAGTGGGGCGACGAAGAGGGCGACGCACAGGGCAATGAAGTACTTCCCGTAGAGTCCAACCACTTCACCCACTGGCCGGACATCATGGCAGGTGGTGATGTCCAGCTCTTTCAGGTAGAACGTCTGCTCGGAGACGACCAAGGGTACAGTGCCAGCTAATGACATGACCCACATTGCAATGCAGGCTAGGACGGCGTTGCGGGGGCTCCTCCATGTCAGCGAGTCAATTGGGTACACAACGGCCAAGAGACGATCCACACTGATGCAGGCCACCAGCAGGACCGAGCAGTACATGTTCCAATAGAAGGCGGCAGTGACCATACGGCACATGGACTCGCCGAATACCCAGTTGTTCCCGGAGAAGTGGTATGCCGCCTTGAAGGGCAGGAGGACGGCGAAGAGCAGGTCGGCACATGCCAAGTTGAGCATGTAGATGGCCGCAGGTTTCTTGGGTCGGATCCGACGCGTGAAGGCCAGAGCGGCGCAGGCGTTGATGGGCATGGCGAGTAGGCACACCATGGCGTAGAATGATGGGATGATCACTGTGGAAAGGCGCCCCGTCAGGAAGCTGCGTACCTCCTCTGAGATGGCAGTCACGTTGCTGACTCGCAAGCTGCCTCTGACCCTCGGGGTTCTGTTCACCCTCCGGTCCACTTCGAGACCATATACATCCTCCAAAGCGAACGGTTCATCGGTGAAAGAGGCATCGAAGTAGGAGAACATTCGTCCTGTGGCGGTTTCTGGACACAAGTATTTTATTAATATAGACTTTAGTTGATTAGCATGTTAGCATATGCTAACAAATACTAAGAGCTGCTACTTTTTTAATAAAACAATTGTAATCGTACAGCATCATTAAAAAAAAGTATTCTTTGAACCATCCATCCAAACCGCTTATTCTCACGAGGGTCGTGGGGGTGCTGCGTGTGGGAGGAAACCGGAGGCCCGGGATAAAATCCATGAAAGCACGGGGAGAACATGTAAACCCCAAACAAGAAGTCAGGATCCCGGAATCGAACCCGATACCTCTGCACTGTGAAACAGACATACCAGTCGCCCACCGTGTTGCCTATTTATATTTTTTGTTGTATTGTAATCCATGTTCCAATGAATTACATAAACGTGAAATACCTCTAATAAGTTTCTGATAAAAAAAAAACATTTCAATATGCTAATTAGGAATAAAGAAAGTTATCTTCAATTGAAAAAAAATAATTCCAATTCAGATTATAAAGAATTGTTACTAGCATCATCGAGCATCTGCTAGTTCCAAATCATCAATGAAGTCTTTGAACTTTATTGAACGTCAAAGATGTGACTCAACCGGCTGTAAAACGGAGTGGTGACGTCAGCCCATGGTACAACGGTTATCATAATCCCCAAGATATTTACACATACGACATAACGAACAAAAATGATTGTTTTTTTATCGCTTAGTAACGGTAACTTTATTATCTTTTTCATTAAAATCACAGACGCATAAAACTTACTATTGTGGTGGGCTGCCAATCCTGCGCATGCGCTCACGGCAAGCAGCAGCAGCAGGACGGGAAGCGTTGATCGAGACATTTGGCAGCTCCAGCAATCGAATACAAGGACGAAGAACAGAATAAAACGTATCTCGAAGAAGTCTGTCGATGTAGTGTGCTCCTGCTGCTGCTCTGCGTTCTCAGGATGTTCTGATGGTTCCGCCCACCCTCAAAGTGGGCCCGATTTGCGACCAGTCAGCGGCGAGCGGAACGACATTCCATGGGAGATGACGTCACGTTTCCAGTCACCCCTGTAGCCGGATAACAGCCAGGAGTTCGATGACCGAACTGGAGACTAGACATAGTCCGAATGTCCAAAAAGGCAACAGAAGCAGCACATTACAAAACGTATTCATTTTCTGTAATTTAAAGATGTTTTATATCCCCAGATATTATTGTCATTATTGTTAATATTATTCTGCAAGGCAGCTTTAATTATATGGCACAATTCATACACGACGTCACAGTGTGCTTTGCACATTTCAAAGTACAACTTGAAAGCAAAAACGAACAAAAAGATATTTAAAAGCAAAGTAAATAAATTTTTAAAAGTAGCTTCCTTAAAAAATACTGACAGAATATTCAGTGCAAGAGTAAGTTTTTGGAAAAACATCATTTTAAAAAAAATGCTTTGAAAGACCTCAGTCATAGTCAAAACTACTATTCTCAAAAGACCGTTTGACCTTCCGACTTCTGTGTGGACGTACCGCAATTCCGAAATGAATGCATCTAAAATGAACACCGAAAGCCACCGCAAAGTATAGTTTGCATCCAAACTGTTTGACGCATTTTAAAGACAACAAAGATTAGCAAAGGAGGTTAAGAGAGGAGTTGGTGAGTCAAATGTCTGGGAGTCCACAGCCAAAATGAAGTTCCTTGGCACAGTGCCAGTCACAAACAGATTCATTGTTTTTGCTTTCTGCTGTTATCCCTTCACTGCCGACATCGTCCAGTCAGATTTTAGCTGCAGAGGAGCAACAGGAAGTCCCTGAACATGGTGACGTGGAGCCTTGTTTGAAGTGATTTCACTCTCGTTTCAAATACATGCCCAAGCTTCTTCGCCTGCGTTTCCAAGCGATAAAACTGTTTCCTGTTGTTGACTCGTCTTGAGTTATTTTGGGGATCTCTCAGTACAGCAAATGTAAACAAGTGTTCTTCCTCTCGCTTCAAATTAGGAAGAACGCAGCTAATGTGGGCGTCATCTTGTTTTTGTGGCTGTGACAAGCAAATTGATGGCAATGGTTTAATATGATCATACGACTGGTTGACAAAGAAGAGAAGATAAAAACAAAGTTCCGGACCAAACCCCAACTCTAGCTACAACCTTAAAATCTAATCCCAAACCGACATTACCTCTAGCTTCACCACCGGCTTCATGTATCTTTGCTTGTTAAATTAAAATGGCCACCATATAAAGCAACGCAAAAGGTGTATTGCATTGTGGGATTATTTTTCATAATTAAAAAAAAAAAAGTCAAGATTTGTAGTCTTTTTTTATTTTTATATGTGGTTTCTGTAATTGTGACTTGATAATGGTGTTATTAAGAGGTAAGTAGTCACAGAAGGCCAAATGGGGCCTGCAATTTGGAAAAGCGAAACAGAAATGACACAGGGTCCGGAAGTGGAGCCGCTCGTGTTGAGACAAGTTTATCGTTTCCCGGCAGATGTTTCCTCTGCATGTAGTTAGTTATGACTGCACGATAAGGGATCATATTTCGAAGCCAAATTGGAGATATGAGCGATGAAGTCCGCATTAGGAAAAAAATAAAACAAAGTTATGTCATCGTTGGGCTGTCGACTTTGAACATTGCAAAGCACGTAATGCAGTAAGGATCAGAAACATCCCGGGTAAGAATCTCACAGAGGCCAACCCACATGGAAGTTCCCCCCTCCCCCTTCATGGTGAGGTAAAAGAGTAACAGAGTGTGTTGAGCTGCATGCAGGTCAAAGGTGCACATAAACATGGGGAAATATTTATTTTTGCTGGTTCTGGTGCTCTGTCTCAACGGAACGCTTCAGAAGAAAGGTAAGAGATCATAAAATAACGCATCATGAAATGAAAGCGCACGTTTTTTTAAAGTTTTTTTTTTTTTTAAGGATTTTTTTGAAGGCTTCTGTTTCACTTTTGACACTCGTGTTGATTCAGGCAACATGTTTTGTCCAGGGTGTGCCTCACACAATCCCAATGTTTTTCATCATGTTTTCACAGCTGAGCTTCCTAGGACATTTTGTACGTTGCCTCCCACGCTAAGTTCATTCTCATGCGAATTTGGTAGGATTTTAGTAGGACAGTGGAATGAGCAGAAAAGACCAACAATTACTATTTGTGGGGGTTTATCTATCAACTTGTTTCGTCTTGTCACAAAATATATTTTCGGATGACTGTATCATCACAGTAGGATATTTGAAAAAAGAGACCTTGAATATAATGATGTGTTGCAATCAAAAGTTTGCTGTTTCAAAACTTTTTTCGTATCATCATCTGAGGGTATTTTCACCAAATAATTTGGGATCCAGAAAGCCATTTAATATGAAGTATGACTGAATATGTTTTTTTTTATGTTATTATTTTCATTTTTTACAAAGTATATTGCTACTAGGTTTTAACATGTCATTACATCATCACATGACAATATTTTGACTAACTGTTTATAGATCTGGAAAGTTGTGACTAAAGCCTGTAATCTGAGAAATTTGTGTATTAATTATTTTACATTTTCAAGTCATAAAAAAATGTGTTTTTGGTCATTGTGTCGTCATACGGAGAGCTTCTATGTAATATGTTGGTGACACGACAGCCTTTAGGTTGTTTGGGTGTACCTAATGGAATGTTTTTGTTGGCAGGTAAAAAGAAGTTAAACCATCGAATGCAGAAGAACACGACCCAAGTTGCGTTTCCCAGAACCTTCAAAGGACAACCGCTGGCACAGACCCGCTTCTTCTCTTCGAACAGGACACACCTTCCCGCCGCCTCACCTCCCAGACTCCGGTTGCTAAGCAACAGCACCGCTGGGTACCTGATTGGCCCGCTGAGCACCAAAGTCCTCCCCATGACCTACATGCTGGTCGTGGCCGTGGGGGTCCCAGCCAACGTGGCCATCCTGAGCGCGCTGGCCACCAAGGTGCGCGTGGTGTCGTCGGCCATCCTCTACAGCAGCCTGGCGGTCTCTGACCTCCTCCTGCTGGTCTCGCTCTTCTTCAAGGCCCACTACCATCTCCATGGCAACCACTGGGTGCTGGGAGAGGCCGCCTGCCGGGTGGTCACGGCTTGTTTCTATGGCAACCTCTACTGCTCGGCGCACACGCTGGCCTGCATCAGCATCCAGCGCTACCTGGCCGTGGTCCACCCCTTTACTTACAAGCGTCTCCCTAAGCGCTGCTACACCACCTGGACTGCTGTGGCCGTCTGGGGGGTTTTCGCCGCCGCCGTCACACCCCAGCTGCTGGTGCGGCAGAGCTTTCGTATCCACGAGCTGGGCCGCACCACCTGCCACGACGTGCTGCCGCTGGACCTCGGCTCGCACATCTTCCTGCTACACTACAACCTCTTCCTGACGCTGGTGGGACTCTTGGGCCCGCTGGTGGTGACGGTCCTGTGCTACGGTCGGATCATGTGCGAGCTGCAGCGGTCGCATCTGGACTGGGCCGCTTACATGAAAGCCAGTTCTTTGGTGTTTGCCATCTTCCTAGTGTGCTTCACGCCTGCGGGTGTGGTGCACTTCCTCCATCACGTGCAGCTTTTTGTGGACGGTACGGAGGGTTCCTATGCGGTCTTCAACGTGGCCGTTTGTCTGTGCTGCGTACACGCCTGTTTGGACCCTTTCCTCTTTCTTCTCATGTCCAAATCTGCTGGATCCAGGTTGTACTACATCACCTCTCAGCCAAAAAGCCTCAGCATGTCTTCTTGAGAAATTTTATCTATCAACAACTTTTTATGGTTTGGTATTTACTAATTACAAACATACCCAAATTAAAATCAAATGTTTTTTTTTTCTTTGGGTCATTACAAAGGTAGTTTGACAAAATAATTACATATCTGGAAGCTCCTGACCATTGTCGCTATTATGATGTATCGATATGTTTTTTTGCAAATGTTTTTCAACATTGCTGCTGCTCTTTAACAATTTCAAGCCCTCCAAACTTGTTTTCTGGTCATTATATCATCATCTGAGGGCATTCTGACAAATAATGACAAATTTGGATAGTCCTGATGATGACCATTAATATGAGGTATGAGTTGATATGGATTGTTGAGAAGATATATTTTTTTATCCATGTGACTTGTTTTTTAATAGGTTGTTGATTTGAATTGTGGCCAGTGGCTACAAAAGTCATGTCGAGTTTACATGACAGTTTACACTTTGAACTCAAATTTGAAAACGGCGATATGACTCTGATTATGTATGAGCAGGACCTTCATACAAATAAGATGTATGCTTTATGTAGACAAAGATGTAATATGAATTTAAAAAAAAAATGTTTACTATTTTTTTGGACCTACAGTGAATTTTGCCGGACGAAGTTTTCTCACATCTTAACAGAGTTTTATTCTTGTCTGTCAACTAATACATAGAAGTGTTTATTGGACATGCACATATTTTCAGGATTTTTTTTTTTGTTTTGTTTTATGGCTGTTATCTTCTTTGAAAATTGTCCAAATGACAGTTTAGCATAAATGTACCGCTGAGAAGAAAGAGGCGAGGCATTGAAGAGGCATTTCCTGGACTTCCGGTGACGGGAAGCAGTGAGACACGCCTGTAATCACGCAATCCCTAAAGAACTGGGAACAAAGTGTGGGCATGCTATTCCACTTGTGTAACTTGGCTCTGTTTAAATAAAGTTATTTTTATTCACACTTTATTCGGGTCATCTGTTTCTCGATTTTTCAATTGATTCTTTCACACAGAAATCCAGCAAAGTTTTCACATCAGAGGCCTATCAGTCAGATTTTTCCGATGTAAAGTACAGTGGCACGAGCCGATTACCGAATGGGACAAATATTCAATTCGATAATTACACCGCCAACTGGCGAGTGCATGAAAAAAACAACAACACGGCGTTGAGTTCAAAGGAGAGATTTTATGTAGACGCCACACACGGCATTCACCACGTAGACTTTTTCTTATGAAAATACGTCATCCAGGCGCGCAGGGGGAATATTTTGGCAAAGACACAGCATCACGTCACCACTGGTGACCGTGTGACAAAAAGACAACAAGGAAGAAATGATGACAGGCAACAAGAAAGAAGGACATTCTGCAACACACATGCAGGATTTGGAAACAGGGCTGTGAAGCGAGTCGAGAAAACGGGGTTCCATGTCGTCAAGTAGGATTTCGACCGTGAGGAGTTTGAGAAGGGAGAGAAGATTGTGAAAGGCGAAAATAACATCCCTTTCACAAAAATGCTTGCTTGTTTTATTTCTAATGGGGGGGGGGGATGTATGGAGGTGATGGGATGGATATCATAGCGAAAGCTAGATCACAACACACAGTCAGCTGATATTGAAGTCACACTTTCGCTTCAAAAGTGTTCCCCACGGAAGACACAACAAAGCAGCAAAAGCTTCCAGCCACGTTTGAGAAGCGAGAAAGAGAGGCACCACATCGGAGAAGAAGCCTTTGAGGTTTTTTTTTTTTTTTTGGGGGGGGGGGGGGGGTTTGATATCTGCAAGACAAGGAAAGTCACAATCGGGGCAGCGACGAGAAGAGCGAGCGGCCTTTGAACACGGCACACACGAGGAGGCGCACACGGCGTGTAATAAGCAGAAAATGTAAACTTGTTTCTGTGTCACTGTCGAAACGGCGCTGCTTTGAATGCTGTCGGGCCTTAAGGTTATTTTCGCAACAAAGCTTCACAGGTCATGTCGGAATGGTGATGGCATGTGATTGAGGAGAGCAATTTAAGGAGGAAATCCCACAGAAAATGAGTACCAGAGGCTCTGTAACTTGGCAGCAAAGGGTTGATTATGCAATGAAAAGCTAAAATCTTGCAATGAAAATGCTACATTTTGCTATTCAAACGGCAGATTTCGCAATAAAAGTGGTCATTTTTTAAACAACATGCAAAATTTTGCAATTAAAATACAGTGGATCCCCGCGATTTGCAGGAGATCGAGACCGGGCTGGTCCACAAATAGCGAAAATCTGCGTGCAGTTGACAGTCATTGAAATGCATTGAAAAAAAAATTGAATTCAATGAACAGAATTGGATCATTGAATTCAATTTAATTGATTAATAAAAAATATTTTACATCAAATAAATAATTTGTCAATGTTCACTGAAAAGCATGAATCTCCAATTTTTGTTTGTCCTTTCCTTCCTTTTGAAAAAAAAAATCTACAAAAATGTATTTCTTTTTTGTTCACATTGAAGGAAAAACTAACAACTAAAACCTAATAAGTTAATGTATAAACTCATTGTCACTCTTGACTGGTACGAATGTCTCTCCAAATTTAGTGTTTAGTTTTCCTTGTAGCAGAAAAAAGAGAAAATAATTTTCAGTTATTTGAGGGGAAGCGGAGGGGGGGGGGACAACATAAATGTGGAGGTACTTGCTTTTCATTGGACAAATAAATAAGAACATAAAAGTGCTGTTGTGGGCTTGCCACTCTATTCGTGGCCTATCGGAGTAAAATGGCTCCCGTCTATGTAAAACTATGGCTGCCTGCCAGGGTCAAAAATGCGTGTGTGTGTGTGTGTGTGTGTGTGTGTGTGTGTGTGTGTGTGTGTGTGTGTGTGTGTGTGTGTGTGTGTGTAAGGTCCAGGTAAGCAAATGACCAAAGGTTTACATGAGGACATTGACGCGCGTGTCGGGCAGCCGCAGGCCCACCAACCCGCCGGAGACCAGCACGCACGATGCCAGAAGGATGGGGATGGCCTTGGTGATGCCCACCAGAGAGCCAAAGATCAGGTTTCCCAGCACGGCGGCCAGCTTGCACAAGGCGTTGCAGAAGCCAAAGCCGGTGCCTCTGCGGAAGAAGAAAGGATGAAACGTCAGGCTTAGTTGGATTGAGATGAGAGTGGTGGCAAACTTTTTAGTACATATAGAGACTGCCTCGATTCTTCCATCATTTGACATACTACGAGAATTAATAACGATACATGGAAGTGAAAAGGCCATGGCCTTGGCAGACGCGCCATTCTACCCATTCTACCATCATAGTCAGAGCCGTCACCTCCTGTCGGTGGGGTAGAGCTCGGTCGTGACCACATCCAGGGAGTTCCAAGCGGAGATGCTGAGGCCGTTGTAGAGGCACAACATGAAGATCATCATGGACTCGCTGGTGCCGAACCACAGGAAGAAGCAGCTGATTCCCGACAGTACCATGGAACCCCCTGCAATGTGTGCGGATTGGTGAGTGACGTGTGTATCAGTGAATGAGCATGTAGAGCTAGCTGGTAACTGGCTAAATGTTAGCCAGTCTGAAAAAAAAGTAACACATCTATTTTGACAAAGTAAGCAATAGAAAGTATCTGAAAAAAATGTAACGTACATAATAAAGTATTTGCTTGTGTTGTCTAGTCGTACCCAACATGCTAAGGCGGCCTATTTTGTCCATGAGGAGAGCCGAGACAATGTTGCCAGGCAGCACGGCCAACGTTCCCAGGAAGTTGACAAAGTAGACCCAGTACGCGCTGTAGTCGTCATCGAAGGTCATCTGACAGCCCGTCTTGTTGTGGTGGAAGGAGCTGTTGACCACCCTCGAGTTTGTCAGCTTGGAGTCATCGATATCTGCAAAAAGTACATCAGAACTACTAGTGGCCACGAGGGAGCAGTAAAATACACAAAGCCATACAGTCGCGTCAGATGAAATGGGGTTTGTCAAAACAGATGTATCGTCGTGTTTTTGTGGAACAAATTTGTCTTTTTAAAAACACAAAGGTGCAAAGTCACAATGTTGGACCCTTGGACTTGAAGTGTAAATCCCACCTTAACAGTTAATTTCCCAAATAGGCCACACTGTTCTTATTTTTTCCGCCCTCACATGCTTGGCACATTGCTCTGGGGTGTGGAAAAAGTCTTCATTTTCCATGCGGCATCGCCAGCACCTTCCATGCCTTTGCTGTTTCCATGTTCAGCACTTTTCCAGAGTGCTGCTGGGGAAATTATTTGAAGGCCCAGACTCCCACAAGGTCTGATTCAGCTCCCGGTCTCTCGCACCGCCTTCTCTTTCTTTTCTATGTGCACTTCTGAAATGTTTCCATTGCACTCTTTGCGAGCAAAGTGTTTTCTCAGTGTGAGGTCTGGGGGAGGCTCAGACTGAGGAAGGGTGCAAAAACGTACCCGTGTTGTAAAAGAAGGAGTCGACAAAGGTGCAGTTTTTGAAGGAGGAGCCCACTGAGGAGACATCCTCAAAATAGCAGTTGAGGAATGAGGAGTTGACGAAGGACACAGCCTTGAACTTCATGCTGATAAACCTGCACAGATGAGAGATGTGAACAAAAATCGCTGCTTGTGAGCCATTGTGATGTCACGGCAGTTTGTGCTCGCGTGTTATGCTAGCTAATACTTTTGATGATTCTCATGTGAAAGTGGCTTGTTTTTGTTGAATAATGAACTCCTGAATACAGTCGTGATGATGTTTGAGTCCATACTTGAAGCACTGTGTTGATGCTTTATGATCATCTCTGTTTCGTGTGCTTTGCCACCATGTTGTGGGATCCATACGCAATTTGAATCCCATAGATTTTTTGCTATTCACAGAAGGCATTGGTCTATATCTCATAGAATTTATTTATTTAATAATTAGCATAATAGTGCTACATAAATGCGCTTAGTTAGGACGACAACATTTATTTTGTGAAAAATGTCAACCAACACCTGTATGTGCACATGTATAGTTACTTTGTGTCGGTACAAGTCATATCAAGGAAGAGTGGGTGTCTATGGTGCGAACTGCCAAGATAAGTCTTTTCATTTCCTGGTAGAGGCGGAGATAACGGAGGCAGAATTAATATGAACGGCCATGACGAATAGCGCAACAGGCCTGCGACATGTTGAGGTGAACACCTACGAATCCAAGCAATAGTCGGCCTGCTTACCTGTCGTTGAGGAAAACGCCATTTCTGTGTATCTGGTTCTCCAGCGTGAAGTTGAAGGTGAAGTCTTCGATGCGTTCGCTGGTGTGGATCTTCACCCGGGAGGCGTACTCATCGGCTTGCAGGTGCTTGATCACGTCGGGGAACCACACAGATAACCCGTAGTACCTGCATTTCGAGGATGAGTTGGAACTTGCCTTAACTAACAACTTAATTGACATTGTCCGACCGCAGTTCAAGCATTATCTCAGCAAATATAAATGAATTTCATTTTGTAATCCAAGTAACAAAAACGGTTGTGGAACACATATCAGAGTAAATATGTACATTTTATTTACCCAAAGGAGAGCGTAAACCAAACCGCTGCCAGTTTCATGGTGTTGTCTTTTATCGGGTAGTCAAAGCATCTCATGAAAGTGGACCAGATCTATTAAAAAAAATAATAATAATAATTTGTGGTTGTTGTGACACTTGAGTTCAGAATTCAAACCAAAACTGACCCCTTGAAGCTCGGCCTTAACTTTGGAGAGAACCTTGAGAACCGGGTTGCCCGACTCGCTCTTCAGCTCAACCAGCTCGTCCAGCAGTTTGGGGATCTTTATCCGATTGACCTGCAGGGGGAGACACTCGTCAATCGGTTGCCAGTTCGGTCAAGCCACGCGGGGGCGCCCTGAGCAATGTCAAATCACCGTGAAGACTCTCTCCGGTTCTCCGCGGGCTCGCATGTTCGTGTCATGGATGTGCTTGAGGACCATCCAGGCCTCGTCGTGCTTGCCCATCTGGACAACATTACATTCAAAAGTTTAATGGAGATCACATCAAGATCACTTGGAAAGGTTATAGTGCACTTTAGGTTCATCCTTAAATTGTACCCAAAAGCGCAATTTTGTATCCCCACCGTTTTGGCAGTAGTCTCTGTTTACGCTCTCTCACCTGTAAGAAGAAGCGGGGGCTCTCAGGCATGAAGGTGAGTGCCACCACTGCTGAGACGCAAGGCAGTGCACACACCACCACAAATACTCGCCAGCTGTGGAACTGGTAGGCAGAGCCCATGCTAAAACTCCAACCTGTCCACAGAACGCGGCAAAGCGCACACAATTTGTCACCTTTGGCATCAGCGGACAAAAAAAAAAAAATTAAATAGCTACCAAAAATGCATCAAATCAAAACGACGGCACGGGATAGCTATGTTTTTGTAGTTGTTGTAAATGCATTAAATGTAGGCACATTGATTACATCACTTTAAGATGATGTCAATGAGCACGAAATTGTAAATGGACATTAGAAATAGATCTGGAATAAATTCATACCTGACTAACTTGAAAAGGCTTAGTTTAAAAAATAATACATTCTATCCACAGCACATCAAACATATCGCAACACCGTATGAGCATGGATGGTCATGTATGGTATCATATCGCATTTTGGACATACATGGTCATGGTATATTAGCTTTAGGGGACGTGAGCGTGTTTGCATGTGGCCTGTGTGAGCTTCCTTCTGCCCGGTCCGGTAAAAAGCTCATTAGGAGGATTCCAGCTATAATGGACTGTCGGCGATGGCTGACTGCTTGCGATACTCAACGTGATTTATGTGGCTACTCTACAGTAAGTGAGAACGCCTCTGACAAGCACACACACACACACACACACACACACACACACACACACACACACACACACACACACACACAAACACACACAAAACCACACAAAAGACCACATATTAATAAACACACACACACACACACACACACACACACACACACACACAAAGAAGAGCATCCAGACAAATCGGCCTGCAACACACACTTAAGACTGGGCAGAGCGGCAGATTTTACAGTTTACTTTTTCGGGACGATTTAAAAAAAAAAAAAGACACCACACAGGCATACGCAGACACACACATGCGCGCGCGCACACAAATGCATACATTCGCCACCAGTCAATGTAAAGGGCACTGCGGCGAAACGCACTGCCCGCAAAGCACTGCTTCTTGCAGAGAGAAAAAAAAGAGTGAAACAGTGGCGTCTAATCAATTGACCTCGATTATGATCCTTTCGCGGCGCCTCGGGTCACATTAATGTGTCTCGTCAATCACTTCTTATGATCGGTAACAAGATGGATGGCATTTCTTTACCTCCACCCTAATATATTTTTGGGGTTTACAAATACGCGTGTGGGCACAGCCTGAGTCTTGAATTCATACTCGATGCACGTTTTCCCCTCTCGTAATCTTTATTGTCACCTTTCTCTGTAAGTTGAGTTTTGTCCTGGAAGTGGCTTCTATTTCCTCAAGCACGTGTCTCACGACTCCCCAGATAAGTGCTGCGCCCGGTTGTGGCACTTCATCAACACGGCCCGTTTTATATCGAACGCCTTCCAGCTTTCCATTAAAACGGCTAAGCGGTTGTTTCTCTCTCCGACTGCCGCCCCGCATCCCTTCACCGTTCCATTATCCCTCACGGAGGGTTTATAAATCAAGCGGTCCCCACGTACCACCTTCAACGCCCCGACACAGTTGATGCAACCCTATCCCGGGCACCATAACCCACCCACTACCCACCAAACAAATGAACACAAATCCAAACAAAACTTGGTTTCGTGCTTAGCTTTGTTGTCAGATGGCGGCACTCCTGAAACATTTGTACAGAATTACATTCTGAAGTTACTAATGCTTTAAAAACTTTTCTTACCGAAGCAGAAAGCAGATATTTAAGCAATGTGACTGGATTGATATTTTCGTCATCAGTCACTCACCATAGTGCGGTATGATGGCCCACGCCATGGCCGAAGCGTAGATGCCACCGATCATCCAGAACATGCAGAGCCAGCTCAGGTGCTCACCGCGCTTCTCCCGGGCCAACACCTCGGCAAAGTACGAAAACACAATGGGCACAGCACCGCCAATCCTGCAGATTGTCAATCAGAATTACACATTAACAATATACTGTATGGCAGGGGTGTGTGTATGACCTTCAGAAGCTAACCTTTACCTGTGTAAAGACACCCCTTTCAACATCCCATAAATTTGACACACTCGAGAGAACAGTGTTGTCAAAAATCCAGCCAGGTATGTAAAATAAGGCTTAAAAATCGTGAAGAAATTGTTAAGATGCTGAATCCACGCCCCACTGGAAAATTGATTTGCTACATGATTTATTATTATATTTGCATAGAATAGCCTTTCCCAAAACTTTTCTCAAATCACAACATTTCTTCCCAGCAAGGCAAAACCTAAACATAGCTTGTTGAACTGATGACTACATTGATTTTATGTCATAGAACAGCCTTTCCCAACCTTCATGTACATTTCCGCAATGATGGACTTACCCAAATCCCGACAGCATGCGGCAAAATAGGAAGGTGCTGTAGCCCTGCACGAAGGACGAGAGGAAGGCGAAGAAGCCGTTGGTGGACAAGGATATTAGCAGGCACTGTTTGCGGCCCAGCTTGTCCGAAAGCCCTCCCCAAAAGAAGGCTCCGAACATCATCCCCAGGTACACGATGCTGCCTGGAGAGAGCAAAGAATTGGACAGAGTTCATGAATTGTGTGCGGAAATTTGTCACTGGCAGTAATGCAAAAAAAGGTTGGGGACCACTTCACTTCAGTAACTCGTGGTCAGATCTTTTCCTGTTCTCGGGACAGCGCAGCTTTAGAGAGCATAGTTGTCAGGCCGGTAAATAATGGCGTCGCTCTCTACGTGCTAATAAAAATGCTAATGTCTGTGGAAGGTGGGGGTGAGTGTGCCTCTTTTATTCTCTTCTGCCCTCTCTTTTGCGCCGTGTTTGCAGTGATGGGACAGATAGGCTGAAAGTAAAACGCTCTTATCGAGCTGCGCAGACACCGCGCCAACAGCCAGCCATTCATTACACGCCGACAGCTGCTAGCTCGTCACTGCAGAGGAGGCCATATGAAGCGAACCCACGACCGACCAGCCGGTGGTGGGATGCGAAAATGAAACAAAATATAAAAGAAAAAGGTCACAAGCACTGAAAAGTGGAGGGGAAACGTACAACGGAACAAACAATGCAAGATGCACACATGCAGCCAAGACGCTCTATCCAGAATCATCGGCTCATTTGTTTTATGGCGGAGCTCACGCTGAGTTAGGATGTGTAATAAAGGAAGGAGGGGGAGGTGAGGTGGGTTGGTGGGGGTTTTGTGCGAGGATACTTCCCGAGATTGGATTTGTTATTTGCTACGGGGTTCAAGCAAAGGTCAGACCTTTGAAATCATACACTGCCTCAAAGCCAGAGGTGAGACAAAATATGTGTCGTTATCGTTTACAGTACCGTTTACACACAGCATGATCAAATGTTGATATTGTCGCTGTTAGAATTGGGACTTAACGGCAAATTGCTTGAAATAGTGTCATTTTCTCTGGCCACTAATGGTCTCGTGCAGTGCTTCCTAAACTGTATTGAGCGAAGGCACCCATTTTAATTTCTCACAGCAAGTTCAAGTGTCGCATTTAAGGTACACTGAAGTCACGTTAATATTTCTATAAATAATTCAGAATATTTTTTTCCAATTTAATTAATTTCATTGTAGAGCAGCGTAGTTTGCAACCGGACGTGACGTCATCGAAGTGGAAGACGCTACGCGAAAGCAGAAAGTAAAGCGATAGATCGTCAACAAGAGAGAAACGTGATATTAGTCAAGTGTAATCCAGCACAATCCACACACATTTTACGCCTTTGGTAGCATCCGGGGTATGTACAACTTTGTTTTGTTGTCGATGAACAGTTCTGTGACGCTTTATGTAAAAAAAATGCTGTTCGCATAAAAAAATGTTAAGATTTATGCTAGCGCTTGCTAATTGCGTTAGCACAATGATTTCTTGTTACTGTAGCGGTTGAGGTCATGTTAGTTTATTTAGTTGGTTGTGAATGAAAGGTAATTCACCCACACTGTGACTTCAGTTTGTTTTATTGTAATATCTGTGCACGGTGTGAATTGAATGTGATATCGCCTCGTACTGTATGTTACAGTTTCACCATTTTCTGCATTATTAAACCTGTGGACCAAGAGTAACGTCTTCAGAGTCGTGGTGTAGAAGATGAGTTTATCTGACTGTCCAATCCAGGCTGAGACGGTACAGTAATAGCAGATCATTACATTCACTGGGGATATTATTATTATTAATATTCATCTTGTATGGTCTCCACGCATGGTGATTTGTGCTTCTTTTTTGAGATCTTAACTCCCCCTCGACACCTTTTGTGCGATGTTCTCGCATGTCGGCACGTCTCGCTCCGCCACGCTAGGGGTGTTGCGAGCCGCTAATTTCTTCGTTCAGGACACAAGGATCTCGACAGATGATGGACGATTCCCAGAGGAGCATGAGTGATTGACGGGGGGGTTTTAGCAGGGGAAGAATGAAACATTAATTAGACCGACGCCTGCCGAGCCCTGAGCCACGCTTACTGTTAATGTCCTCTGTTCTTTGATTGGAGGCCTTTGAATCAACTTTGAGACTCAAAAGTTATGTGTGATCAAATCAAAGCAAAATGTGATACCAAAGTGAGTAGAATGTTGTTCTTCCACACCAAACTAATCCAAACCTGGTCCATACCCTGCTTTGGGGCTGGCAACTGAAAGTGTCTTCCCCAAACTGGGAAGTGTACAAATGTCCGAAACGTCTTGCTACGCTTAAAAATGAAAACCAAAATGGTTCCAGTCTTCAGACTAGACGTATGTCCATTTACTTTTATTCATGTAGTATAAATGTAAACCTAGTGAGAGTTGCAAGACAGCTCTTTGTTCCAGTGTAGAAAATTTCTCTTTAATTATTTGCTGTCCTTTCAAAGAGCTATCATTAGACTCTCCCTTTGAATAAATCCACTCCAGAGGCCGCGATTGATTACTCTGATTTTATTTCCCGCCACATACATAAGGTTTATTTTTGTTGTGAGCCACTTGGTGCTACATAATGTGACTCATTCTTTTGTTCTCCCCCTCTCGTCTCCCACCGCGAGATGACTCACGCGTGGAATGTGGATGAATAATACAGCATCCTTACACTCGCCGGCCGCACCATTAGGTACACCTGCACAATCAGCTCATGAGCAATAGTGTGCAAATTATTTTTTGGATTCTCAAATAATGGACACTGCACCAGTTAGTCCCTGCATCACCCATCATTGCATTGCAGAGATTAACGGACCGTCAAATAAATTGCCAATGTATATTTGGTGTGTTGAGATGTGTCTGCCGCTGGCACCATATTAACAGTAATTTTTACATTTTTGAAAAAATAGCCCCCAGAGGTGTTGGAAAAGTTGCGAAGTTCGCAACAATGGCCTACGCTTCATGACAATGCCCAAGCTGTGACCCTGTTGTTATGGAAATTGTGTATTTTCACAGAAGAATGTAAGAGGCCTTTTACTGAGGCGCTGACAACTATTGAAAATTGCGGAGAAAAAAAAATAGCATCATTTGTCTGATTTAAGACAAATAATTGCCCACAACAAATAGACGCCCCATTCTTTTACCATCAATAACAAACAAACAAAACAAAAAAAAACCATCGAGCCCCTTTTTAAAATAAAACACCAACGCCTCCTGAGGCACGGAAACCATTGTGGGCCACAAGTGACCCACACCCACACTCTGAGTGGTCCCTGATTAATTAAAAATCATAATAATTGAAAAAAAAGTGATAGGGTGGCGGGAGGGGGTTATAAAAATGTTTCCTCGATGACAGCAGACCACTGCATTCCTTACCAAGCCATCCAGCGCCGGAGTTGGGCACGCACATGTCCGTCTCAGCGCTGGGTAGGACGAATCCCACAACGAACACCTCCACGCCGTCTGACATGAGCGCCAGGCCCAGCACGAAAAAGAGCTGCCACTGGAACCTCCCGTGACCACACTCCTGCATGATGAGCTCGTACTGCTGCGCCAGCTCTTCCTCGTCGGCTTGCCGCTCGTTCTCCAACTCCTTGCAGCTCTTCGGAGCCTCGCCCGCAAGTTGGCCCAGAGCCATCTGTCCAGCCCGCTGTTTCTCGTCCTGGTACGCCGGCACGCCTTGGTATTCGCCCTCATAGATCTCATCTTCATCGTCGTGGCCCTCTGTGGCATCACTGGATGCCCCGTCTTCGTCGTCGGCAGCGTTGTCGTAGTGCCTGTCCACTTGTCCATACGAATTGGAGTCGTTCTCCTCGCCGTCGTTATGGAATCGATTGTAGCTGCGCTGCGCTGAGTATTCATCCGAGGTGCGGTCCACCGCCTTGTTGAAGTTCTTGCCGGCTTGCCTCTTGGCTTCCTTGGCAATGTCCTTGGCGCCTTTGACCAGGGAAGTCCTGCTGTTGTGCGTTTCGTTCATCTTGACGCAGACAGAGCTGAGCACTAAGTGTTTGTAAGTAGCCTATTTCAGCAGCTCCAGTGGATATAGCTGCACGGGACGCACTCTGGGTAGCTTATAAAGTCAAGCGAGCAACAGCCGGGAACGCCAGTCGGCTGCCAGGATAATAATTAAGGGCTGAGGTCAAACCCCATGGAGCTGGAAAGGTGGCCGTTGAAATTGGAAAACTCCTCAGTTCTGGAAGAGCTCAGCAAACGAGGCCATCAGCCTGCAGGAGCACAAGGAGAAAGCTCTTCATTTAAAGTTTGCTGCCGAATACCCCATTGCGGTGTCGTGAAAAGGGATTTTTATGGCCCTCTTGAAACTGTTTGCGTTCTAAATCTTTCCCACCAAATAGTAACTGCTCGACAACACAACTTCAAAACTGTGCACTCGCATCAAGACCTCCATTGTATGTCTGTTCCTCAATCCCCACAGCTTTAATACTTATAGTCTTCAAAAATCAGGCCATAAAAGCTCGCTTCCCCAGTGTGTCAAGGCGAATTCATTTCAGTTTGATGATTCCAGTCCAGGAACACACGTCAGCCCGTGTGGTGAGCGCCCTCGGGGCTCGTTCCATGACCGCCGTCGCCGCACAGGCCCAGTCTCGCCAAAGACCTGTCAGCCCATCAGGGCCTTGTCACCTGTACCTCAAAGCCCTTTAGCTGTTAGAAGCAGGCCAAAAACCACACAGACATGTGAAGTCGTACTTTGAGGAGAGGACATTAGAGATTTTTTTTTCTACATTGAAGGGACACGAATTGTGTCCAAATGAGATCAACTTGTGTCATTTATAAGAAGTGTTTGTTCATCTCAATAGTCACCCCGCCTGTGATTGGCTTTTTTCTGTGTTGTTTTTCTGCAGGGGGCGGGGGGACACTTCAGTGGTGCCATGCTTTGTTGTTCAGTAGTACATTGTAGTTGAATCCAGCGAGATGAATCGAGTGTCAGTGTGGTGTGTTAACAGTGTTGCGGCTGCTCATATAGATGAAGGATGCGAAATCCATCTTTTCCACATTAGCGGTAACGTCCTAGCGGTGGGTTTGTATCAGCACACTCCCGGGAGCGGAGGGCTGCAGACGTTGGCTGGAGCGCCCAAATGGAGCGTGGCAGCTTGATGTATGGCGCCTCCGCTCACCTTTTGCTCGGTGTGATGAGATAAAACATCAGTTGGGATCAGTCATTTGAACGCAGGCGCGCCAGGGGGCTCGCGGGAAGGCGCTCGAGAGAGTTTGGTGCAATGCAGCAGCGAAATGGAGCGGGAAATGGCTCGTCACTAACTTTTCTTTTGGCGCGACCGGGTGATGAGGAGGCAGCTGACCCTGGCCGTGGATGCACCTGTCGAGGCCCAAAATGCACTGAGTGCCCTTTAAATTAAATGCCTTGTGGGTACTTTGTGTTCTTGACCCCGCAAACTCTTTGGAGCAGCTCCGGCATATGGCATCTGATACCTGGCTCCTAACCTGTTTCCTTGTTAGCCCAGAAACGCACCTTATTCGTTATGGAGTGTTAGGATAACATGAAATGTTAACAGGTTTGAGTTTGACTTTTTTTCTACCAGACCCGTAGAGAAGGGTGGGGGGGGGGGCTCAATGCCCACAATGTATATTTACATGTACAACTGTGCAATCATAATGAATGAATTGACAAACGAAAATATGGGGCCCTTGAACGACACTGCAATCTTGTCAATCAGTAAAATTCCTGAGGGGGATCAAACAATTTTCCTGACTGTGGTGCCGTAACGGCCCGCTGACGCCGCGCTGTCACTTTCATTAATCACTGACAACAACACGTACTGTACTGTACTTCTTGGACAATGCTGTGGTGAAAAAGGAGAGACACTTGCCGTGTTTTGCACCAACTGGGCAAGCATCGGCATGTGACATCCAGGTTGACAATATGGAAATGTAGCGCCCTGCAGGCTTGCTGCGGCGCCCGCAGATGGCTGCAGTGAGCATTGGCTAATGTGCATCATGCGAACAAAAACCACACTCCAAAGCTTGCTGCAGATGCTGTGCAACCCAGCACACAGCTTTGTTGGAGATAATATATCATGTTTGCCTTTGTATGTTACCGCCTCACGATAGGGGTCCATGATGGTGCTTTTGAGACTTCCCCAAAAAGTTAATGATCGATTTTGGTAGATGTAATGACGAGTATGCTTTACTCGTCAAGGTTCTATAGTTTGTGGAAAATCAGTGCAAGCAAACAGTGAATTATGTGAGCTCGCTAACAGGGGGGGCAATGACAGGATGGACATTTTTGGCTAATGTCAGCATTTTATAAGCATGTGGTGCATGTTCACCACCGAGCAGCATGATTCAGTTACCAAGCAAAAAATGTACTTTGAATTTTTGAAAGGTTTTTGGACAAAAATATTTTTACTCCTCATTGGCAGCTCCACTCTTCTGGACTATTTTAACAAAGTACCGAGCAGGAAGTTCCAGTTGCAAATGTGGGTTTTAAAGGCAAAACCTCATCAGAAACATAAATAGGTAAAAGAGAGCACAGTTACCTGAAAAATCCACTTCAGTACAGTCACAAAATATTTGTTCCTCAGCACTTATTCTATCAAAGAAGAGCCCAAACTTCAAGTGGAACTCCTCCAAACTGACTTGAGAGTCCTCTGCAGCCTGTGGCTCATTTCAAGCGTATGGAGGAAAAGGCATCAATCATCGCGGGAGCCGTTTGACGCCCGTTACGTCCTGTAATTAGATTTCTGTGGGCTGCCCCGCTCAGTGAGCATCCATCCTACAAACCCCCACCTTTCCCCACCCCACCACCTTCGGGTTCGCTCACGCTGCAGCGCTTTCCTGAGTAATGGCTGCATGTGTTCCTACTACCACCACCCCCACCCCCACTTTATTACACACCCTCCGCAGCCTCACTCCAAAAAGATGGTTGCCTTGGTGCTGTATTTGCCACGACATTCTAGAACTTTTCAAGCTCTCGTGGAAGACAGAATTTTTGCCCAACTTTTACTTCAATCTCAAATAAACTTAGGGGTTAAGAAAAATGAATGTGCCAGTGCATGCAACACCTGCTGTTTGCAATTAGAATAAAACCATGAACCACTCACCATCGTTGAGATTGCATGCCAGCCAACGCGTGGGAACGTGTGAGCTCCACACTCGTTCCAATTGAGATGCTCGCCGCTCGATGCTGCAGTCCGACAAGAGCGAGAGAAGCTGAGTGGAGGAGAAAAAGAAATACGCAGAGAGGCTGAAACTTAGGAGGAGCTGCACGGACTGAAATAATCAATAGGATATATACAACAACTGGGCGAGACAGTCGGCGGAGTACAAACAGGCAGTCTGGGTGGGCTCGGGCTGGGGGGAGTCGGGGATGATGCAGACTGAGATGGGACCCCGGGGGAGGAAGTTCACTCTGGGATGACTGTAGCTTGAGATCACAGATTGTCTCATGGTGAAGGAGTGGTTAACTCACCTGCCTCACAGCTCTTAGGTTCAGGGTTTGAATCCCCGATACGTCCCTCCTGTGAGGAGGTAGCATATTCTCCCCGTGCTTGAGTAGGTTTTCTCCAGGTACTCTGGCTTCCTCCCGCGTTCAAAAAACATGCATTCTTTGTTGACTCTGAATTGTCCATAGGTGATGATGCAAGTGGGAATGCTTGTTTGTCTGTATGTGCCGAGCAACTGACTGCCGACCGGCTCAGGGTGTACCCAAACATCTCGCCCAAAGTCATTTTGGATATGCCCCAGCATACCTGTGACAACCCGTAAGACAACAATTGCTTTCAAAACAACCTGGTGGAGGAATTGAGTGATTTTTTTTTTCAACATTTGAAAAACAACCTTGATCCAAACATCCTTAACATCCCGGGAAATGTCATGACAGCTGGACGATTTCAGTGCAGATCTCACTGGGTGAAAGGAACCAATCCTTACTCCTCGCAGTCCTCAAAAAGGTCAAGATGCTCATAATGGCCTTCAGAGGGCCATTGGAAACATTGAATAAGCAAGACTACAAGACTCCCTCATCTACTCCAGAAATAACCACATCTCAAACAGCCAGGAAGGAAGGACATCCCTCTAGCTCTTCACGGAAAACAAAAAACATTTGCATTTCAATCCAGCAGATGTCAGAGAATGATGCGCAATTTCTAGAAAGCAACTCGTGAAGCCACACCATTACCAATAGTGATAAAGCATTAAAAACCACAATCTGTTCTGGTTTTGGTGCTTTACACCTCAAAAACGTAATCATATGCTGGCAGCCTGAGTGGAGATGTTGCTGACTCAGCATGCGGCTGCATAGGCTCATAAAAAAAAAAAAAAAAATGTCTGCCAAGGTCCAGATACCACAATGTGGAATGGTATTAAATAATGAGACAAATAGCCTTGAGAATAGCTTGGTGGGTTAACGCAAGGTTAATTACATTTCTTAAACACAGAACAGGGGAGGTGGCTGTTAAAAGAGGGCCGCAGAGCAGGAACAGTTAAAAAAGGACGAGTTAAAATGGTTTATTAGCTTCACGGCCGAGCGGAAAGGTCGATGGGCGCATGTAACACGGAGCAAATACACTTTACAATGACTTCCCGGAACTATTGATAAATTGATGTGAATGTGAGAAAATTGATGGCGTGGATGGGATGGGAAGTTCATAAGCAGTCCATGAGTAAGAATATCTCGATTTTTCACAATTACGAAAGCAGGTTTCACTTGATTTTTTTTTTCCTCCTTCAAATTTGGCAGTCTTATTGTCAACACTCTTCTCTGTGTCAAATTTATCGCATATTTTTGTTTTCACTTGACAGGGACTTTAAGAAATGCTTCCATTTGGGCATTACAAATACAAGAGGCTATTTTGAGAGTCTTTCGAGCTATTGTCTAATATTTTGCCTTTTATTCACAATGTTTCTTGTGCGCAAACCTCCTGTAAATGCTGAAATGTCAAGTACCTTTGCTCCTGGGACCAAGCCATGACGCAAATGCTCACTCAGGGAGGAGAGGGGGTCAGTGGTGGAACAAAAGAGTTGAGAGAATTTCAGCAATGTGATGTTCAAAGCAGTTGATGGATTCTTAAAATGGTTCGGATCTCTCATTTCACTGCCATTTTGTAATTTCTGATTTTAATTATCATTTTCCCCCATCTTGCTTTATTCCTCCTGATACCATTTTTTCCCAACCATTCCCTGACCACAGCATTAAATTGCTGTACAGTAAACTTTCGCAGATGCAGTATAATATAAATAAATAGTTACTTGACAGATAATGGGAAATGTGCTAAATCGGTGGTTGTCAAATTTGTAACACAAAGTACCACCAATAAAAATATTTGGCTCTCCAAGTACCACGACCTTGACCATCATGAAAATACAGTAGCATACTAGGCCCAAGTGGACAAGATTGTACAAGACTAATTCCGTGATTGTCTTCAACCAGATCCTTTCTTGTTATACAGAAGCAATCTATCTGTTTCTTGGTGGGAATCACTTCCCAAAAAAATGCAGCGAGGAGGTTTTGAAAATTCGCTAAGTTGGCAAAGCTTTGGAGGAAAATGAGCAACACAACCTCCCGGCATGCAACACAACTCTCCGACCCTAATTGCATGCAACGTACTGACATCTGTGCACGAGTGGGCGTCGGCGCTGACAAGTCCGAGCCCTCCTTCAAATTTGGCAGTCTTATTGTCAACACTCTTCTCTGTGTCAAATTTATCGCATATTTTTGTTTTCACTTGACAGGGACTTTAAGAAATGCTTCCATTTGGGCATTACAAATACAAGAGGCTATTTTGAGAGTCTTTCGAGCTATTGTCTAATATTTTGCCTTTTATTCACAATGTTTCTTGTGCGCAAACCTCCTGTAAATGCTGAAATGTCAAGTACCTTTGCTCCTGGGACCAAGCCATGACGCAAATGCTCACTCAGGGAGGAGAGGGGGTCAGTGGTGGAACAAAAGAGTTGAGAGAATTTCAGCAATGTGATGTTCAAAGCAGTTGATGGATTCTTAAAATGGTTCGGATCTCTCATTTCACTGCCATTTTGTAATTTCTGATTTTAATTATCATTTTCCCCCATCTTGCTTTATTCCTCCTGATACCATTTTTTCCCAACCATTCCCTGACCACAGCATTAAATTGCTGTACAGTAAACTTTCGCAGATGCAGTATAATATAAATAAATAGTTACTTGACAGATAATGGGAAATGTGCTAAATCGGTGGTTGTCAAATTTGTAACACAAAGTACCACCAATAAAAATATTTGGCTCTCCAAGTACCACGACCTTGACCATCATGAAAATACAGTAGCATACTAGGCCCAAGTGGACAAGATTGTACAAGACTAATTCCGTGATTGTCTTCAACCAGATCCTTTCTTGTTATACAGAAGCAATCTATCTGTTTCTTGGTGGGAATCACTTCCCAAAAAAATGCAGCGAGGAGGTTTTGAAAATTCGCTAAGTTGGCAAAGCTTTGGAGGAAAATGAGCAACACAACCTCCCGGCATGCAACACAACTCTCCGACCCTAATTGCATGCAACGTACTGACATCTGTGCACGAGTGGGCGTCGGCGCTGACAAGTCCGAGCGTGAGAACGCTTTGTCGAGCGCTAGTTAATTCCAAGCGGCATGTGTGGGGGTGCGGCGGTATGGCGACACACCGACAGGGTTCCCCCCTCATTTGATCCACCAGACAGTAACGAGGCATTGCACAGCACACTCTGATATGTTTTACGAATATGGTCATAATTACAAGCAAATGTTATCATAGTTCACCTGTAAACCATTTCATCCCGCTTACACAAATACACGCTTGAAAGTGTAGGAGGTGGCACAGCAACTCACTCCTGAATTTGTCATCTCTCATTAAGATGGAGGCTAATAGATGGACCTTGTGACAATGATGTTAATTGCTTCCCCTCCTCGTCAGCCGGAGGTTGTGCAGTATGAGGAGTGATAAATAACCATCAATCATGTCATGTACACAAACTATTGATATATAAATACATTTTGACTCGGTCATAATTGTTGTTGAGGCATCACAAACAAGCACTCTCTTTCCTTTTGTTTCATCAGCTCATCTTTGATCTGCTGAGAGGCCTGTTTCAGGCAAGATTCAGCAGATAGCAGAGCGATGAAGGGAAACGGCGGTGATTTCTGGAAGGCAGTCCCTGTACCTCCTCCTCCACATGACAGGGAAGCATCATGTGTGACTCACAGCTGGGACTTCCTTTGGGTGGCGACGGCGGATGATGCGATGGACGTGTCGTTGCATCAGCGCTCGCCTCTGAATGGAGGCGACAGCAGACCGGTTTGTATGTTTGTGTCATATTATTTTAGGTAATGGCCTCTTAGTGCGCTTGTACCTTGCAGATGTGTACGACTACACCACATCAGGCTGATAGCCACTTATAACATTACGAATTTGGATTTTTTTTTCAATTATATGCGGATTTTCACAAGTTGTGGCTAGACCTGGACCCTATGGCCCACGAATAAGGGGGTCTGTACTCCTCTTGCTGTGCGTCTGCATGCAGAAACATGGTGTTGTGCAACAGTGTAGCCTGCTGGCTGATCATCAAACTGCTGCATTATCAATCCCGTTATCTACAATACAGAACATTTACTGCTTTGAGTAGAGTGCAGACCTCAACCAACGTCGAGATTTTCGGCCTTGGTGGAGAAAGTTGATCACCAGCCTCGACCGCTTTATTGTTCCTTGCATGCCTCAATCTTCGCTCATTTAACATTCGTCCCCCACCTCACTGGGAAAAATGGGGGAAATTGTTGAGCTGGCAAAAACCTGCCTGTCCCACGAAGGTCAAAACGTTAACCGCGCCACTGGCAAATGACTCACGCACCGCTCGATGACGTTCTGCTCCGTTGAGTTTAACGTGACGAAGTATAAGGTGGGGGGTGGAGGTGGACAAGCTGCTACGACATACAATATAAAACAATAAATGTATTACAGTACAGATTAAATGGAATTCTATTTACAATAAAACGTGTTTTTTGCCCGATGTCACGTTTAAAGAATGGTGCACAGCTTACAAATTCTGACAATGTCAGCAAATTGAATGAGCAGGGCATAATCATCTATGTCGTTTTTGAAGATCATCCATGAATGTATGCATGGATGAGTGCAGTCATAAAATGTGAATGGAGTAAAGGAGGACCTCACCCTCGAGACACATCAGGAAAAATGCAACCACTCATGCACTGTATGAGTAATTGCTAGAGAGGGCGCTACTAGCTCATGAATAGGAACAATCATGCTAGTTAATTAGCCCCATCATGATAGAAAATAACTGCAGTAAAAAAACAAACAAAAAAAAAACGTGTGTGCACTTTTCATAAGAGAGAGTGTGACACCATCCTATGTGATCATTCAGGCCTCCCTTTGTCCCACCTGTGCCTCGATGACTGACCATTGAGCAACATGCAGTTGGAACGAGGATATGATTTAATCTCATCTGATCAGCCGATATGACTCATTCTGCACTCACTCAATCTTGGGGCCTCAGAGTGAATCACAGATGTAGGGTAAAGGTGAAAAGACATTAAGACGGTGCCATCGAAAGTAGGATTCTGTTTTGACCACACATCTAATTATCTGAATGTGTGAAGCTGTTCAATAAGGCGTTTGAAAAGGCCAGGTGAATAAATCCTGGTTCTGCTGTGGCGCCTTTGGTGCTCTAATTTACTGAGAAGCATGTGTAAAATGGCTACATTTGCAACTATTTTCTTTTTTCAAATAGCCTATGCATGTCCCATTTGGCAGGAAATACAGTATCTGCAGTATCTGCAAGAGCCATTGCACATACATAAAGGCCTCCTCTCAAATTCACGCCTTATTCTTGCTGCAGTTGAATAACAACTTCCGGACACTGTGACATCCCTTCTCAGCAATAGAGAAGCGTTACATTGTGCAGCTAATGGAAGCCTTGCGGTTTCGGAGGTCTGGTGACTACGCCGGATGACCGCAGAACTCGTGAGGAGGCTAAACGCTCTCCTCTTCCCTCTTGTACACATATATTATCTCCCCTCACGTAACATTGGTGTTCACATTTGCAGGAGAAGGCCCAGGGATTACAGTGTGACTCATTAGGCAAAGGTTTATTTCAAGCACGGGGTAGGAATGCGCATGACCACTTTACTGGATTACTTTTTATTCCAGGAAATGTATACACATTGCTCTGTCCTTTAGAAGAAGGCCTGACCATGAGTCAATAGAGGTCCAAGATTTTTGCACAGTGCCGTATGTAGAATACAATTTGCTATTTGTTTTTTTTTTTCCACATTAAACTGTTGAGTTATGTCTCATGAAAATGGAATAAACTTTGACTAAACCCTGTAGGTCAAAGATTCAAATATCCCTCAGATGAAAGTCTGGTTGCGGGAACTGCAAATTGTCGCCTCACTTTTGATGTCACTGCTATTAAAAAAACACAATAATAATAACAACAACAAAAACCGAAAACACAATATAAAGCATTATAAAATAGATTTCACAATCATTTGAACGATTCAGAATTCACATACTGGACAAATTAAACAACTATTTTGAATCAGGATATTATGATTTTATTACACTATTGGCACAAAGCATCCTCCATAGCCATTGCTACAGTAGCATTAGATCCTCCAGGTGTGCCGACAGTTATGGCCCGTGCGTTCATAATACAGGTACAGTAAAATATAAAACAAGGTTTACTGTATTCATTTTCATTTGTTTATTAATTTTTATATCGCTGTGACACTGGCTGATTTGAGTTTGGGGATTTCCATGCCGCGTGTTTGGCTTCTAAATCGGTCTCCCTTTTCTATTTCCAGTGGCACCAACACAAGGGGCGGGGCCTACCTCTCAATTTCAGGAAGAGCTTCGATGACGTCACGGCAGCCAGCGCCCCACTGAGCTGTAGCTACACGCACGCGCGTCCTGACACAAGCACGCGCAACACACGAGTTGGAGCACGCGTCGGTTAGAGAAGAGGAAGAAAAACGGTAGAGGCGAGACATCAAGTCAAGATATGGCGTAACAGCGGACAGGCGGTCATAAATTGCATCTTCTGAACGACACGGAAGGATTTACGTCCGTGGCCCGTTATTTATTTCTTTTTAAATTTTATTTTTAAAGGCGGCATTTTGTTCTTTTCCTTCACCGACATGATTTGGTGAGCTATTGCCCCTATTTCACGTCCGGAATTTGTGTTAGTAGCCCACCCTAGCGTGCTAACACCACCGCCGACATGTCAGACAACCAGAGCTGGAACTCGTCGGGTTCCGAGGAGGATTCGGAGCCCAGAGAGGAGACCGGGAACTTGGTGGGCGTCGGCGTGTTCAGCGGGGTCCTCAGCAAGGTAAGTCTCAGTTATCATGGTGTCATTTCCTCCATGGTTTGATTTAAAACGTTGCAGTGCAGCTTTATGTGTATCATGTTAAAATGACAACACCTGTTTAATTAAGAGCTAGTTTAGTTGTGTTATTTTAGGAGCACAAAAGCAGCAAGAAAGTTTAATTCTTTGGTAAGCATATCGTAGAAAGTAAAGTTCAACTCAACCACAACAAACCGCCGTGAGAACTAGATTTCAAAATAAAGACATTACTGTAGCTCCATTAGACGGCTTACTTCGAATAAGCATCTCCAGTCTAATTCTATTTCAGACTATCCCAAGTAACTGGGTAGCAGTTCTTCCCCTCTCACGTTGTTGACAAATTTTGTTGACATTTTACGACTGAACCATCAGTGTTTTGTGATGGTAAGGAGCTTTATCCATGCCTGCTCCATGGGCATGTAAAACGACCTAACCATGACAATGCCAACTCAAAATTAATACAGTCATACATTGTATTACGGCCGAACTATAAATGCAAATGTAAATAAAGCTAACTTCAGAAGACCACTCAATGCATTCTTCTAAGTGACGGAAACACACTCACACGGTATTCAAATCATCATCTCCATGCAGTGGACTAAATAAACACACGACCTACCCTGTCCCTGGGCCTCTACCAGAAACTTACTGAATTGGCAGTTATGCACGTACACACATTTGGGGCGAACCGATTACTTTTATTGGTGAGCTCATGTGCATTCGTTGTCGCCGCCGGTCTTGAAACAGATTGTGCTCTGACCTGCTAGCCACGCACATTGTGAGATTATGTGCACATTTACATGGAGAGGAGCTCACCTGCTCCACGGTGGCACAGGCAAAGTCCACCATACGTCACTGAGGCCTCGCCGGGGGGATTAATGAGACTGCAGCTGGCAGACAGTTACACACGCCTGCTCCAGTTGGCTTGACATCTGGTAATAAGTATGGTGATAAAAATTAAAACTTTTAGAAAACCTTTACTTCCTGCACAGGCTGAGTATTTTGAGTAACTTGTCATATTCCATGCAAAAGAAGTTAACCACCGGTTGTATATGTTAATTTGCTCCATGTACAGCACTTTGTATGCAGCGATAGCTGTTTGAAAGTGCTCTATAAATACAGTTGAGTTTAGTAAAACTAAAATAAAGTTATTCATGTTTGAAGAAAGTGTTTACTAAAGTAAAGTAAAAACTATCCCCCTGTTGAAGACACATCGAAAAAAAAGGTGCTTACAGAGCTATTACTTTATTGGTGCCACTGTGTGTGTATCCGGTTTGCGGCACGAGCAAACTTCGGATACTCTTCCATTTAGGATGAAGAAAATGTGAAGCACTTAAGGTACAGTAACATCCTCATGTGTGGACAGGGAGGGCCACAGTCGATGATGCAATTGCAGTCATTTATTGAATGGGACAAACAGTGAAAGACAAAAATACAAAATGAGAAGTCTTGCAAGAGGCTGCGGAAGTGTATTTACTTCAGCATTTGCTTGGTAAAATTAAAACCTCAGGTGTGGGTTGAATCCTTTCAGATCCAAAATGACAGAAAAAAAACAACTCTTGAATTACCAAACACCTATTCATCATATTAATTAATAAATTGTTATTCTTTAGTTGCTATCATATACCTTTCTGCCCTAGAGCAAATTTATTGACGCTGTCATTGATTAAAATGGTACACTGGTAGCCGTTGCTCACGGCAACCCACCTATCATTCAAACAGCCTTTAATACTTCACAAAAGCAAATGACTGTGTTACATCACATTACCAAGCATTTTTTTGTTGAAGTTCTCAGAGCCATGAGTGACGCAGTAAATAAAATGATTTGGTGGCAAAGCCGTGTAATATGCATCGATGAGACTGCCCCTAATACGCCACAGTGCACGCAAAACAACGGCTCGTATCTTGTAAAACTTGTAAGTTGGGTCGCTTGTGTCTCGAGGCACCTGTAGATTGAAAATGTCGAGTCGACGCACGTGGGGTTCATGATGGGGCTTCTCTTGCTCCCCGCAGTGGACCAACTACATCCACGGATGGCAGGACCGCTGGGTGGTGCTGAAGAACAACACGCTCAGCTACTACAAGTCACAGGATGAAACTGAGTACGGTTGCCGTGGCTCGTTATGCCTCAGCAAGGCTGTTGTCACGGTGAGTGCCCCCCCCCGAACACACACTTCGGCCACATGCAATGTGTTTACCACAGGCATAGCGCAAGCTGCTGACTGGTGAGCCTCTTTTTGCGTCAGGTCCAGACACTGTCAGCGGGTTTCACAGATTAAAATTCCTCATTTAATCTTGCTTAAATCAAAGGGACTTGCCCAGACATAATTTCAAAAAACACATTTTTTTGGTTTTTCCCACTCACATAGTTGACAAGTTTGCCCCATATGTTTGCCGTGTCACTTTGCCTGCTTGTACTTCAAAACTCTTATTAAATATTTTCGAAAATCAGATTTAAGGACAATTAGTCCTTCAATCCGTCTTTCAGAGGTCTTAAAAATGTCAGAGAGGGCTCATAATGATTAGGAGCTTATCTACATGTTTACCAAATGAAAGGCCTTCACGGTGAAATAGTTTACATTGTTTCTGTCTCTCACGTTCTTTAGTCAAATTTCAGAGCGCGCATTAGGCAAATTGTTGTAAATCAACGACCGTCCAATATACTTTAGGGTGTTGCGACTTTGCAATCAGCTTCTACTTGTGGAAGAGAAGCCGAGAGCAGGGGCAAAAAGTGAATGCCCGTCAAAACAAAAACATTTTCACACACGGAGGCAGCACTTCAGGGGTTAAAAAGTGAATGCCTGTCAAAACAACAAAAACATTTTCACACACGGAGGCAGCACTTCATGCACTAAACTTCAAACAATTAGGTTAACAGAAGGCAAAGTCTTTAAAAAGGCCTCAGACACAAACATAGTCAGGGTATTTTCTTTGGAAAACATGTTGATTGTCATAAATCACTCTTATTCATCTCCTAAACTGTCTTCCATGACTTCTTTATGAGCACAGATACCCCATGTGTTCAAAAAATGTGAATCAAATGTCGAGCATTCACCGAACGGTTCTCATTTCCTGAATCCCCGTCGGGCAACGCTGACTCGGCGAAGTCAGCTGAGAAACTTTAGCCCATTGTTCCACAGGTACACGTGGTCCAAATATGTGTCCCATGGTCCACCCGTGGTCCGCCCGTAGCCAACACGCCGTCTTTATCACCAGACGTCCCGAGCAGAGAATGTCTTTTGCGCAGCACATTCGCCCCCTCCAGTCAGTCACACTTGGATCGCAAAGATTCATCGGTGACTTTTCACCACGTTTGGTGACATTGCCCTCGTACAAGCAAATACAGAGTTGAATTAGTCACCGTTCCCGTGTGCTGGACAACCCTTTTGTTGACTTTAAGTGTATTTGCACAGCTTTGACCATCCTTGGCCAATGTAAATATTAACCTATGTGTCGTGCACTCGCTCATTTGCCAGGTCTCATTCCAACGCGGGGAGAACAACGCTTCTATCTTTGCATGATCTGGTGTTTCTCAAGTAAACAGACTAATCCAGGGAAAGATAGTCAGGGGTTGCCTGTCACGGGAGGTCGGCATTGAGGCTGGATCAAGTGTGTGAAAGGAAGAGTTGCTACAAGGAGGAAATGTAACTCGTGACTTCCTTTTACACAAGTTCAGTTGTCATGGAGGAGGATCCACGATCACATGCTCTGCATTTTTACATGTCGTCTTCCTTCTCGCTTTCACGGTCAACGCCTGCTAAAAGTGGAGTCACGGTTCCTCTTCTTGGGGCTGTTTATACCAGGTTTAAAAGTTGGGTTTCAAGTCCGGATCATGGTCTGAATTTAAGATTTAAAGCATGGCGTAGGTATGAAAATTATGGTTCTGATTTAGTGTTTCACATGAGGGATTCAAGCCAGCGATCGGAGGGAGTGGCTGGGCCACTATCTTGTATCCATAATGGAAAAATGTTAAGTGCTTGTCCCATTAAAACTCTTTTAACCAATGTTAATCTTGACTGCGTTTGAAGTGGAAGAATCAATAAATTGTGATCATAACGCCATCGGTCACACTTAAAAGGATCAATAATACATGCACTGAATTAAACCCTCACACATTGCATTATGCATGACGCACACATGTGATGTGTGCACACACACTCACACAGAGCAGCCACTTGCTTTCATTGCCGATGCAGCTGTTCGAACACGCTACGAGCAGGCCGTCACGTCCCTCCCCAACGCGTGTTTATTCAGCTTTTCCTTTCATTTCTGTTCATGTGTTCTTTAGCGGCCGACGGCCATCACGAGCCAGGCAAACATCACAGCAATGTTTTCTTTTTCTTTTCGCAGCCCCACGAGTTTGACGAGTGCAGGCTGGACATCAGCGTCAATGACAGCGTGTGGTACCTGAGGGCCCAGGACCCCGAGCACAGGCGACTCTGGATCGACTCCATCGAGCTGCACAGGGTCAGCCGTGTGCTCTTTGCCTTTCGCACAATCACCATAAAAGTCCCAGTAAAGTGAAACCAAATATGCCTTTTGAATTTGACGCACAACAGAGGAGAGTGATGTTCGGATCCATGCCAAATTGAACAAATTTAGCCTGATACATATATTGAGGCTTCCACCTTTCTCACCCTGACGTGCTCACACTCATGGCCAATGACGACGCGCTCTAAAAAGGATTAAAAACAAATCTCTGAATTCACTTTACAGCATCTTTCGGAGTGTGTGAGTGTGTGCTTATCGTTGTTTTTTGTGTGTGTGTGTGTGTGTGTGTGTGTGTGTGTGTGTGTGTGTGTGTGTGTGTGTGTGTGTGTGTGTGTGTCATGTTTCGTGTTTTGATCAGCGTGTCAGAGAGGGGACGAGAGACAAGGGAGGAGTCCAGGCTATGATTTTCATCCCTCCACCACTGGTGCGTTTAGGGATCCGTGTGTGTGTGTGTGTGTGTGTGTGTGTGTGTGTGTGTGTGTGTGTGCGCGTGCGCGCGCGCGCGCGCGCGCGTGCGTGTGTGTGTATAGCACTAACACTTAGCAGAGTGAAAAAGTTTGCAAGGAGCCATGAGGAAGTCTCTATGACTTCCTCTTTGAATGTCACAACACAGTGTCACTTTTCATACAATTCTCCAAAGTGTGCTGAGAATTTGCCGTGTGCGTGCCAAAACAGCTCTGAATGAAACGCATTACAATTGGGAAAATAATAGCGAATAATATAACAACAATACTTAACTATGGGATCAGTGGTGTCGAAGTAGCTCAGTGTATGTTTATGGTGAGTGTTTTTTTGCAGTGACATCGCCAGATACCGCCTTGCATGCCTGTGAACAGTGATTTTGCAAGCCTATGCTAAGGGGAAGTGTGCGCAAGATGAGGAGAACGTCATTCACGTTTCACTTGAGCTTAGTTTTGGGAAATCCCCCTCTACCCATTCAACGGTCCCCTCCCCCCTCTCCTGACCATCCCTCGGAAGCGTCACGGGGACATGACTCACCCTAGTGCACATCCACTCAACACACACATTTTAGCTGTCATTCCAGCCACAGTGAGTCACCGCTGAAAAACTCTCCCTTCCTTCCGAACCCCCAAAGTACTCTCCAGACCACCACCGAGTCGCCCTGGAAACACAACACAAGTTAGATGATGCAGCTGTCGGGATTCCGCCTGATACAGTATATTAGCGCCATTGAGCTTTAAGGAGATAAAGTAGCACAACAATCAGTTCTGCTGGACAAGCCGCTTCCCCTCATTTGATTACGTCCTCCTTATCACACAAAATAGCTTGGTGGCACATGGAGCAGCCTCGCACACTGCAGTGCACTCATTACATCTGAGCTGATTAATGGGCGCATGCGTGCTCAGGGCTCTAGAGACCGAAATCTACCAGCAGAGTTAACTCCTGGTCATTGACCTATAGTTACCTTTGCCATATGTGGTGGGGGAAAAGGAGAGGGGGGCAGTGGGCTATCTGGGTATGTGCTGCTCCCTGGTGGCGCACCAAAAAAGTGTTTATAAAACGAGGTGGACAAAACATTTGTTTCCATGATTACAAGACATGTCACGCTGGATGTAAGCAGTTTTTCAACGTCTGTTGGGCCATGGCGCATATTTTACATGAAAAAAAAGTAAAAAGAAAAAAAAAGAGTCCGACGTGATAGTCAGTGTGTGGACAGGGGCTTTGCACTGGCATGGCTGCTGGGAGTGCCTCGTTGTCTCGATGTGGAAAAATCCCCGCAACGATCAGGTGGAATACAGTATATTTTTGCGTCTTATGTTGTTCTGTAGGCATAGGAAACACGCTCTCAAAACTAGCATCCATTTTTTTCCAGGTCATAGAAGTACAATATTATTAGAAATTGTTTCATTTGACGGTCGTGTCTTCTCCTCACTAGGCCGATCCCGGCTACGGTTCCGAGTCCAGCCTTGGGCGACATGGCTCCATGCTGTCGCTCACTTCGGCCACCAGCGGCTACTCGGCCACCTCCACTTCCTCTTTCAAGGTGACACGATAACCCGTCCTCCTTGAGACACGTCACCCGATGAACTGAGCATGCAATTAATGCCGACGCATGCTGTAAAATATGATATATGTTCCTGTTCTATGTTGAATTTACTCATTCCAACATGGCTGCCTTGTTTCTAGAAGGGTCACAGCCTGAGGGAGAAGCTGGCGGAGATGGAGACATTCCGAGACATCTTGTGCCGGCAGGTGGACACGCTGCAGAAATACTTTGACGGCTGTGCAGACGGCGTGTCTAAGGACGAACTACAGAGAGACAAGAGTAAGCCAACGTCCTCCAAAGTTATCAATCCAAGACCGTCAAACACAGTATGCTGTAATCGTCACGATTCACCTGTTTGTGACTCACAACATTTGTTAAATTAAAATTAGAATATTACCAGTGATGGACAGTTGGGGCGATGAGTGAAATCTTGACTTTTGGAAAAACACGCTAAACCGGTACTCGGCCCATGCCGACCGACTTGTGACAAACCGCCGTCTCGATGCGTTGGGGTTTACTGTAATCGGAGACGGTGTTTGTTGGAATCCACAGTTCTTATTTGATAAGTGCAGTTTTGTGGTATTGGAGCCACTGTGTGTGTGTGTGTGTGTGTGTGTGTGTGTGTGTGTGTGTGTGTGTGTGTGTGCGTGTGTGTGTGTGTGTGTGCGTGCGTGTGAGTGTGTGTGTGAGAACATTCTCGCATGGCCGCCTGCGATCGTCACGCCTTTTGTTCCCATCCCTGCTCCCCCTCACCCTCGTGCCATCCTCAAGATGAAACTGCACCATTGTCACACCAGTCTGACGGCCTCAGACCCTTTTGTGTGTGTTTGTGTATGTGTGTCAGTCAGTGTGCGTGTGGGATGACAGCCGGTTTTTGTTTCAGTCGTGGAGGACGATGAGGACGATTTTCCCAGCACCCGCACCGATGGAGAGTTTCTTCACAACAGCAGCAACAGCGCCAAAGACAAACGTAAGTCAGGCAAAGAAGTCATTTCACTCCCGTCCACGCGCTTAAGCTGACGTTTGGCTTGTGGTGGCCGCACAGTTTTCCACTGCTCCAATCCGAAGGCGGTGAACGGCATCGACTTCAAAGGCGAGGCCATCACGTTCAAGGCCACCACCGCCGGCATCCTCGCCACTCTGTCGCACTGCATCGACCTGATGGTCAAGCGAGAGGACAGCTGGCAAAAAAGGCTGGACAAGGTAGAGCAACACTTGCTCTTAAAGGCTCACGTATCCTGACAGCGTGCACTCGGGGTGGGGGGGATGCTGTTGTCGACATTTAGTGTAAAGGAAGTAGAGTCGAAATCGATTAATTGATGTCGTTGAACTCCCATCATAGAAATTGTTTGCGGCAAAACACACACTGACATTTGGACACTGAAAGCCACACTTGTCAATTTACAACACTGACAAAAGTCAAGACTTAGACATGTTGTTTAATTGCCTTTGAAGCATATGTTTGTTAAACAGTTTTTAAAATTGGTAACATGTTAAGGGATAATACTGTGCGATCGTTTAATGAAAGTTTTGATGTTGAAAGTGTGTGGGAGTGGTCTTTTAATGTGCACACGTGGCTGCAGGAGATGGAAAAAAGAAGAAGAATCGAGGAAAGCTACAAGTCGGCTCTCAACGAGCTGAAGAAGAAGTCCCACTTTGGAGGTCCAGATTACGAGGCGAGACCATCGAACAAGTCGTCAATTTTTATTTCAGTTTGTTTTAGTCATGAGCTTACGTGTTGACACGTCTTCCTGTCACCGCCAGGAGGGTCCGAACAGCCTCATCAACGAGGAGGAGTTCTTCGACGCGGTCGAAGCCGCTCTCGACCGCCAGGACAAAATTGAACAGGTGCGCGAGTTGTATTCTGTCGCGGGAAACAGGTTGACCCTTTTGTCGACAAGAGCCTAGGCAACGTAATCCTCACAGTGATCAGCTTCCTCGTGCAAATGGCACATATTTACTGAGTCTTTTTTTTTTTCTTTGTGTGTTCTAGTGTCAGACGGAGAAGACCAGAATCCAGAGATCGAGTCCACTTCCACCAGCAGACGTCTTCTCCAGCTCGGGCTCTCACAGATTATCCGAGCAGGTTATCTATCCGCCTGTCTTTGCGTCCCTTCTGCACATCTCCGCGCTGGAAAATGTCAATCATTTCCGCTTCCTCACTCGCAGGTGGAGGAGATGGTGCAGAGTCACATGACCTACTCACTCCAGGACGTCGGCGGTGACGCTAACTGGCAGCTGGTAGTGGAGGAAGGCGAGATGAAGGTATGTCGCCATGAGAGTCAAATTATTATTTCCCCACAGGAAATAAATTATAAAGTAGAAAACCTGTTCGATCACCAAAAAAAAGTCGAATAGCGCTTTTTCTCGATGCATCCAGGTTTACAGGAGGGAAGTGGAGGAAAACGGCATCGTACTGGACCCTCTCAAGGCCACACACTCGGTGAAGGGTGTGACGGGACACGAGGTGTGCCACTACTTCTGGGACACGGCCTACCGCAACGACTGGGAGAGTATGTCCGCTTTCGTAGCAGAAGTCCCGGTATGCTTCGATTCGTCTGATTGTGACCTCGCTTTCCACCTCCCCCGTAGCCACCATCGAGAACTTCAACATCGTAGAGACGCTATCGGAGAATGCTGTCATTGTCTATCAGACACACAAGGTACGACCACGCCTCAATTCGACCTTTGACAAATTCCGTGGACCAGTAATAATCTGGTTAAAAAAATTGAAATATTAGTTTATTGTCGATGCCTACAGTGAAATTGAGTGACTAATGTGCACTTTCAGAGGGTGTGGCCCGCCTCCCAGCGTGATGTTCTGTACCTATCGGCCATGCGCAAGATGGTGGCCAGCAACGAGAGCGACCCCGACACGTGGCTGGTGTGCAACTTCTCCGTGGACCACCACGATGCGCAGGTGAGTGGGGAGGCGCCAAGGGGGCCACGCATGTATCCACACTGTGTTTATTTATTTTTTTAACTCTTTATTTATTTTAGCCAAGCAGCCGCTGTGTTCGTGCTAAGATCAACATCGCCATGATCTGCCAGACCTTGGTCAGTCCACCAGAGGGCAACAAGGAGATCAGCAGAGACAACGTGCTGTGTAAAATCACATATGTGGCCAATGGTGGGTCACAAACACAGCCAGCCCACCTTGTGTACTATGTTAGGATGTTTTTAGCCGTTATTTTCATTGAGTATTCATAAAGTAAAATTCTTGAAATGCCACCTCATTTCTTGAGAAGTGGGAATTTTTCTTTTTTAAAAAAAATCCAACTTTTTCTGGGAAATAAATGTTCTCTTGTTTTTACTTGTGTGGGGGCGAAGTAACTTTTTCCTCAAAAACATACAACTTTATTTTGTTTTGTGTTTTTTAAGTATAACTTTGTTGCCAATTTGAAAAATGCAAATGTTTGTCTTTTGTGCAGTGAATCCCGGAGGCTGGGCGCCAGCCTCGGTGTTGCGGGCGGTGGCCAAGAGAGAGTACCCCAAGTTCCTGAAGCGCTTCACCTCTTACGTACAAGAGAAGACCGCCGGCAAGCCAATCTTGTTCTGATCCTCTCTTGCAACGTTACATCGTTATTGTACCAAGTCTTGTTCAGGCCGCACTGGAGAGGATAAAAAAAAAAACACACACACACACACACACAACCTGACCGTGAAAAAATTAAAAATGTTGTAATATTATTACTTTTGTTTTATGAAGAGTAACTCTTTTACATCCAATTTGTTTTCTGTTTTTTTTTCTTTTTTTTTTTCCTTCTGAACAAGTTAAAAAGCATTTTTCCTGAAAATGTTTACATTTTTTGATAGACCAAATTAATTTTTTTGAATTACAGTTTGACAATAACTGTTTTCCTCCCCTTTTGTCTCTGGAAAGAAACTTGGATTTTTACAACCATAACTTTCTTATCTTCATAAACCTTTCATTTTTCTATATAAAAAAAAATGGTACTCTTGAAATGTACACCACTTCACTCTCTCAAGATTACCATTTACTGTAGTTGTGGTAGTCTTTTTTTTTTTTTTCCTTTTCACTGTGAGCCTAATACTGCTTGGTGTTATTGACATTCAGCAGGATTCCTTCCCAGCTGCCAATCCGCTCCAGCAACTTTTCAAATTGCCCAGTACCTCAATGCAAAGTGCATTAAAGTGATGTGTACGTATGTTCTATAAGTACAGTGTAAGAAGCTCTAAGAGACTTTATCTTTGCTATCAGACTGTTTTCTTTGCTACATGGTCAGATGATTTGTTTACTTGTTTCACGAACACTGAGGGGACCGCCGTGATGAACGGAAAACCCCTATGACGTAAGACGCTAATCCCGCTCATGAATGCGCCTGATTTCCGGCGCACAAGGCGGAACCAGGCCACCTAAAATTTGAAGCGTGTCGCACAGGCTTTTTTTGTTGTTGTCTTGACTTAGTAGAGTCCAAAATGCCTTCGTGGGTTAGTTCGAGGGGAGGTTGCAAGAATTTGACACCTGTGATGTCAACGAACAAGTGCCCATGTCCTGGATAGAGAAACATTTTTACAAACTGCATTGTTACAATGTTCAATTTTGATTTGACTTCTTGACTCCAATGAAGCACTTTGACCTTCCCTTTACTAATTCGTTTGTTTGTGCATTTTTACCCTGCTGTTATGTTGTGGGTTAAATTGACCCATCTATTTCAAATATTTTTCCTCTCATTTGTTTCTAAAAATAATCCACATATCTTTTTTTAAAAGCTATAATTTTCAAAAAAATCTGAGGTTATACAAACTGTTGATTTTTTTTTTTCTTGCAAAAATCAAGCGACTTTCTTTTTTCCTCAAAATAGATGCAATTGTTTTCTACAAAAAGCTTTTTTTCCCCTCAATAAATACTTTTCCATACTTTTCTCAAAACCCCTGTTATAAAATATCAGACAATCTAATTGACCCATTTGCTTTTTAAAACCATTCTTCAATTGGCTTCACATGAGACTTAAGTAGCAGTTGTGTAAAGTGGAGAATGGCCCACAACATAACAGCAGGATGTTGGAATGGTTTGGATCCACATTTCGAGATAAGTTGCTCAATGATGACCTATCGTCTGGCACATCATTTCTAAATGTTTGCTAGAAGTTTGCTGGTTAAATGTACTTGCAGTACATGTACTGTATATAGTTTATGCCTACTAATGCTTTGAAAACTTAAAAGTACTCTTAGCAGATTTCCCTGTGGAGAAATAAAAATGTTTGACCAACGGTGGACAATGCCATTTCATGTTTTTAAAAATACAAGAAAACTACATTTCTTTCAAATCTAAACTCAAAATAATGAGTTTTTAAGAAAATTCTCACCTTGTCAGCATTACTGTCACCCATGGAGATTACACATTTGGCTTTAGGCCACAACTTTTTTGTCACTCCCTCCAAATCTGAGTTTGTCAATCTGAGTTTCTGAATGCATAATAGAACATTTTTTATGACTTAATCTAATCCCTTCTGCTCACTGACTGAAAACCACGTATTTACAGTGATTAATACTTTTTTAACTCATGATGCGGGGAGATTAATATGAAAACTCAAGAGTTATTGCATAATATTGTCCCGAATAGTTTGGTAGGAACAGTTTAGCCCTCCCTGATGCTACAGTAAATACTTGTACAGTACAAACCAGATACTGTCGAAACATGGTGTGTAGCTCGTTGCTGATTGGACAACCGTTTTCCCGCATCATCTGGCCAATCGCTGAGCAGCACAACTGCTTATAAATACAAAGCGTGTCGCTTCTGGAACTACATTCAAAATTCAACTCATCAGTAAGAAACTATGTCTGGGCGTGGCAAATCCGCCAAAACCAGGGCGAAGTCCAAGAGCCGATCTTCCCGTGCCGGTCTTCAGTTTCCGGTGGGTCGTGTTCACAGACTTCTCAGGAAAGGTAATTATGCCCGACGGATCGGCGGCGGCGCTCCCGTCTACCTGGCGGCTGTACTAGAGTACCTGACTGCCGAGATTTTGGAGCTGGCCGGTAACGCGGCCCGCGACAACAAGAAAACGAGAATCATCCCTCGTCATCTGCAGCTGGCGGTCCGTAACGACGAGGAGCTCAACAAACTCCTTGGCGGGGTCACCATCGCTCAGGGTGGCGTGTTGCCTAACATTCAGGCTGTTCTGCTGCCCAAGAAGACCGAGAAAGCCAAGCCTAAGTAGAGTTGTTCGTCACTTTCTGCGCCCCCACAAAGGCTCTTTTCAGAGCCACACAACTTACTCAAAGAGTGTCCACATCTCTTAATTCACAAATCTGGAGCTTCGTTGAATGGGATTTGTAATTAAAATGTCTACTCGTTGAGATATATTTCCAAAGCTCATCACTGGCAGTGTATTTAATAGTTTTCTTGTTGTGCCTTAGCTCACACCCCAAAAGTACTCTTACCTACTTCTATCAAGAGCAGACCTAACTACTCTTGGAATGTGAACGATTACGCTCAAAAATCATATTCACTAGAAAACTGAATTGAGCATTATGTTGTGATGTTGCTGCCCAAGAAGACAGAAGACCAAGTTGAGCTGTCTGACACTTACTACTTTTTGTATACACATATCAGTTAAATAAAGGCCATCTGTGCTCAATTAACTGCATTTGGTGTATCGTGTTCGGACAACTTGAATAGCACCATATTGAGACAAATCACCTGTAAATACAATTTTAGTATACATAAACGTGTTCATTTCTTTATTAACTTAAACATGGATTTTTCATGTAATTGATTTTATTTGAAAGACAAAATTCTTCCTGGGAGTTAAAAGCGTTGAGTAAAACGCGACAAAATTCTTGCCTGGACTTAGAACTGCTGAGTGAAGCTCCTCCCCGCAAGATTGCATCAGCTGTTCTCTTTCAGGTCCGCAGTCTTGTAATAAGAGTACCCGCCCGCAGCAGTTAGGCATTATTACACTTGGTATTCGACTCTTGTTGAGAACATGTCTGGTAGAGGCAAGGGAGGCAAAGGTCTCGGTAAAGGAGGTGCCAAGCGTCACCGTAAGGTTCTCCGCGACAACATCCAGGGCATCACCAAGCCTGCCATCCGTCGTCTGGCACGCCGCGGAGGAGTCAAGCGTATCTCCGGTCTCATCTACGAGGAGACCCGTGGCGTACTCAAGGTCTTCTTGGAGAACGTCATCCGTGACGCTGTCACCTACACCGAGCACGCCAAGAGAAAGACCGTCACCGCTATGGACGTGGTGTACGCGCTCAAGAGACAAGGGCGTACTCTCTATGGATTCGGCGGCTAAGCTCATTCTCTCACCTGTTCACCAAACAATCAAAGGTCCTTTTAAGGACCACTCACTACCTCTAACAAGAGTAGTCATTCACTATAGTGGCAGACAGGAATCCGTAAACATCTGCATAACACACAGTAAGCATTAACCGGATCTGACTTGATGAGACTTGGCTATATGAAAAATGCAATCTTAGGAAGGCAGCAATAAGTTCCGTTTGAAATTTGTTTAATCTCTAACAAGAGTAGTCATTCACTATAGTGGCAGATAGGAATCCGTAAACATCTGCATAACACACAGTGAGCATTAACCGGATCTGACTTGATGGGACTTGGCTATATGAAAAATGCAATCTTAGGAAGG